ATTACACAGAGCTTTAATGTATGTGACGACAGAGTTACTTAACGTTATGCACATACACCATCTTCAGAATCTCATCACATATGTGGGGGTCTTGTATAGCTAAAAACAAAGTTAAAACGCATACATTAGATTTCTTGGTGCTCACATGGAATAACTGTCTATGTCACAGACTTCACAGAGACTTAATGTATGTGAAGATAAAGTTACATCAGGTTTACATCAGTTTATGTGCATGGAACTCAGAGAAAGTTATAATATTTGTTACATACTTTACACAAAAAGCAAAAAGCTATGTGATTTGGCTTTGCAATTTGTCCTAGTCCGCATTGGAAACCTACACTTCGAGCATAAGCCAGATAGTGTTCTCAGATTGTTTCAATGCTTGTAAACTTCATCCCCACTTCAGGACATCATTGTTAATGTCATCTGTGTTCTGTCCAATCTCACTACTCGTCTGTTCTTGCCTTTCGTCGTTAACTAAATACTGAAAGCAAGGATCGTTAAGAAACAAATCTGGTTCAAAAGCTGCAAAAAAAACATTACCTTTAATATAATACAATGCCTGACTATGAAGAAAACAAATATACACCAAATGCAGAGTGCATACAGATTATTACCATCTGTGACAAGGATAAACCTTAGGTTCACAGAACTTTAATCTCTGTAACACCAAAAAAAACAATTTTTTCTACTACTTCAAATGAATATACAATGGGATCTAAATATCAACACTTACAACTGGGCTGCAACTCATATAAAACCAGGTCTTCTTCTTCACCACCAAAATCATGTGGTTGATCATTCTCAACAAGTGTAACAATACATGTTTGTAAATCCATAATCACCAAATACCCTATGTACTCCACAAAAATTCAAAAAATGTATAACAAAAAAATTGTAACAATTCAAGAAAAGCAGTAAAAGTGATAAGAACACGGAGAAGGGTTGGTCAGGGAAGGCCGGTGACGGAGCAAGGGTGGGGGGGGGGGNGGGGAAGCAATGGATTGAGGGGGGTACCTGAGGGTGGGTGCGGCGGTGGTGGTGGCTGGTCGGCCGCGAAGGAAGAGGCTGGGTCGCCACTCCAATTTGCAATTTGTGTGTCCGATCGATGAAGAATCGATCTGATCTGCAATTTGCAATTTTCAATTTATGGATATCTGAATTTGATATGAAGAGGAAGATAAGAAAAAAAAGATATTACCTTCCTTGTACGAAGGAGAACGCAGAAGGGAGAGGAGGTCGTGCGCGGCTGACTGGCGTAGAAGAGCAGAGCCGGAAGGAGGAATGAAAAAAAAGAAAAAGTAAAAAAACATCTTAAATAGGGAGGCAGCAATGGAGGCAGGGGTGGGTGCAATGTAGTACGGTCCATAATACAATCCCCAACTCTCTAGAGTCTAGACTATGCTAAAACCTTCAAGAACCTTCTACATATCTCCTTCCTTTGATCTTCTCTATAAATATATACTCCGTATAACGTTTGTGTTGCAGGAAATCAAAATTAAATTCATTCACTCACAAGCATCTAAATCGTTCATTGAGTTCGATTTAATCAAGCCTTGCTTATTATCAATTCCGATCAGATCTGAGAAATGAAGCCGGTGGAGATGCGCAACGTCGACGGCCGGAAGCACATGGAGCGGAAGCTGGCGGAGAAAGGCATTCAGAGGCTGGATCGCCACCCGGCGGACGGGCTGCCGCTGAAGCACGATCCGAAGAGTGGACGCGGCGGGAAGTACACGTGGGAGGGGCCGGCCGGCAAGGAGGAGGAGGAGGCGATCGAACCGGCGCTGGACGAGAGGGATCCTAATTATGTGGATGCGGAGGAGGAAGGGGAGGAGAACGGCGGAGGAGCGGTGGAAGTCGGCAAGGTTGATGTTGATCCCCAGCTGAAGGATGCAGTCGTCGTCATCAACAAGGAGTGAGCGGCGAAACTAATTAATTTGTTGTGATTAGCTGATTAATTACTTTACTGTCATTTGTTTGGATCTGTACTCGCTAATATATGCTGCTTGGCTAATGGATTATATATGGATTGGGCTTTGATTTGTTTCTAATTAACTTCTAATGATGTTAACGGTCCTTGTTTTGGAATATATTGCTCTGGTCTGGTTTTGGTTCTGGTTTTAGAGCTTTTTTTCCTTCTTTTCCCGCTTTTTTAGGGCTTTTAATAAGATTTTTTGTTTAAAAAAATGATAAAGGACTAAAATATTTATCTAAATGCAGTTCTTATTCCTAAAATATAAGAAATTAAATACTTCATCCGTCCCAATTTTGAATATAATTTTATAATTTTGAGGTAAAACTCCATATTTTTTTAAATTATTTTATTTAAGAATTAACATAAGAGTAAAAAATAAAATTTACATCTTTAGAAACTATATAAAAAGTTTTACAAATAAAAATGTGAGATGAGAGAGAAAATGGTCAGTTGTCGGGTTTGGGTTGGATCATCTTGGGTTCAGACTATTTCAAATTCGGGTAAGTTTGAGTTCGGGTTAGAACTACATGTTCATAACTCAATATCATCGGATTTGAGTCGACCCAACGAGTTATGACTTTCATTTATTTTTTGAAACTTTAAATAATTTTTATGATAAATTGTCAATATTACGAATAAAAAACAAAATATGCAGAAAACTTTGAAAAAAATAAGATAATTATGCGATATCATTAAAATTTTGTACGAAAATATAATTTTATACATTAAAAACAAGTAGTAAGTAAAGAAATATAATTAAAATCTTATTTTTATAACATTATATTACACATTAAAGCATATGATTTTGAAAAATTCTTACATTAGTGGGTGGTCTTGTTCGGATTCGGTCGGGTTTGATCCATTTTAAACGAGTAATTTTCGGTCCGGTCAACTTCGAGTTTGATAAGCAAAACTTTTTTTTAAAATCTAATACTCCGTATTTTTGAGTCGAGTCTCGAGTCCAAAACAAATCGAGTCATTTTTGCCAGGTCTATTTAATGCTCTAACGTTTAAAAAAAGGCAATGATATAAATTATCGCAAAGATTCTTAGTAAATCACTCACTTGAACTACCAATTATCCGTGTAGTTTTCCATACTCAAGTCATATGATGCATCTTGCTAATCTCATTTACAAACTAGTCTTTAGTGAGAGCATCAAAATTATTTCAAAAGTCGGTCAGAAATTTGCCGCTAGAAATAAAATTTTGCTTCACATTTACTACTAACAGCGACACCCTCATCCGTGACCGTAATGCGTGAAATGTTTTAATTTAATTATGTACTTTCATTTTTTGTTATATAATTTTATATATGTTAATGATGAATACATTTTTAAAGGAACTTTTAAATTTTTTGTTTGTACCTTTAAAAATTGCTCTTTTTATATTGTATTTTTTTTTTGAAAAGCAGTTTTATTCGCATAAATAAAGAAAGGAGTGGAAGGAACAAGTCTCCAACTCACCCTAAAAGCAAAGTAAATGAAATAAAAAGATAGGGGGGAGGGAACATAACTCCCACTCACCCACTAAATAAAGAGGGCAAAATTGCTAAATAAAGAGGCCCGAAGGCTAAAACATGGTGGCCCAAATGAAAAGGCTAATCAGTACCATAGTATCTGGCCATTTTAGCTTGTGCCCACTCCATGGCCTCTCTAAGCCTGGGCTGACGGGCATAGTGAATCTCATCATAGTCTAAATGATCCTTTGCCGCGTAGAGCGCACGGCGTTGCAATTCATAGTAATCAGTGACAGGAATAATGCGACCCTGTGCATCCAATGGATAACCATAATATGCCGGGTCCTCTTTATGATCATCTGGAAAAGGGGAGAACACCCAATCATCAGGAGGGGACGAACTCCACTCATCATCTGAAGCATCATCCCTGTTGAGGTGTTTGGCGTTGGGTGTTGGAAGTCTACGAAACGTGATGGGTTTGGAAGTGAGTTGAGGCTTTCGGGTTTGGGAAGCCGGATTAAGGGATTTAGTGGGTTTGGGCGGGGAATTGGGTGTTTTGGGCTAGGGGTTTGGCGAAGGGGTTTAGTTTAAACAATATTGTATATTTAAATTTAATATGATTGAAATCTATGTTTTTAGTTTAAACAATATTAATTAAAATAGATACTACCTCCAACTATTTGTTGTGTTTTGATTTTTTTTAATTAAAATTGATAAACTTTGATCATTAATTAAATAAAATATATATTACATATTGATACAAAAACAATTTTTGTTTTAAACTTTCTTCATCCCAATTTAAATTGCATGGTTTGGTTTATGATGTTTGATTTAGGTTATTTTTCAAGTTATTTTATATTAAAAATGTTGTGAATTTAAAAATAAAAAATTATACATTTGAAAACTACGTCAAAAGATCTACAAAATATCAAATAACTAATGAAATAGGAAAAATGAAAAAAATTTGACCCTATGAATAGTTAACACATAATTCAATTTGGAACGAAAAGAGTATATCACATTAAATATTTTTAAATAGGGATATGCTAGGGGTACACCAAAGGTGTACCCTAAATGTACACCACTTGCCTCTACACCATTCATTTTATTTTCTTTTTATTTTTTTACTTTTTTGAAATTTTCTTGCCTTTTTGGTGTGGTGATGGAGGAGGTGGGGATGTTTGTAGTACACTTTTGGTGTACCCCTAGCATTTTCCTTTTAAATATTATTCAAACAAATTAATATTTCATGTAATTTTTTTGTCTTGAAAACCATGGGGAAGCAAAAGAAGAAACATGCTTATAATTCCATTGGGTGATATCTTTAGAGTTTTTTTTCTTCTCTCTTTCTATTGATGCACACATTTTCCTTCTCAAATTTCCCTGCAACTATGATATGAAGATCAAAACAACGGAAATGACTAATTTCCTCAGATGAGTCTCATATTCTTCATCTTTCTATCTAATTCGCCGAAAATTTCCAGACTTTGATTGGGGGGTTTGTTCCGTGGAGTATATATTCAACAATTCCTGATTCAAAAAAGAATTAAAAAATTCTTTGTGGGGTTCTCAACTTCTCATTCCCTTGATTCTTTGCATTCTCTAAGAATGTTAATTTGAATTTGTGGGTATGAAATTCTTCATCTTTGTTATTAAAAAAACACCTTATATGTATAATTATCATTTCCCTGAGGTTTCTGAATATGAAATTCTGGAGGTGAATGGGAGAAACTCCATGAATTTCTAAGGGAATTCAGAAACAAGGTTTATCATTATATTTGTGGATGTAATTTTTTTGTGTTAAAAACCATGGGGAAGCAAAAGAAGAAACATGCTGGATGCAATTTCCATGGTTCTAGCAAGAAAAAAACATGTCCCAACAGCCCGAAAGCGTATGACAGGGACACAACGGCCGCCCTTTCGCTGTCCCAGGAACTGAAAGAGGAAGGGAATAGGTTGTTCCAGACAAGGGATTATGAGGAGGCAATGTTAATGTATGAGAGGGCGATACAGTTGCTTCCCGCGAACAACGAGGACATTTCCTACCTCAGGAGTAACCTTGCAGCTTGTTACATGCAGTTTGGGGAGAGCGGGTACGCGCGGGCGATCCACGAGTGCAATCTGGCTCTTGAGGTTAACCCCAAGTGCACTAAGGCACTTCTGAAGAGGTCCAGGTGTTATGAGGCTTTGGTTAGGCTGGATTTGGCTCTTCGAGATGCGAAGCGGGTTTTGGAGATGGAGCCCAATAACTTCATGGCAGCTGAGATTGCTGAGAGAGTGGAAGAAACGATTGAGGAGAACGGTGGGGGGTTTGACATTCCTGTTGATTTGATTCCCGTGCCCGAGTATGTAGAACCGCGGGTTTTCTCGGCTTCAAAGAAGGGGTCAAAGGGTAAGGCAAGGAAAAAGAAGGCTGTTGATGGAATGAGTGATGAACCAAAGCATGGGAAAGAGAATAAGGTTGATGGAAACCAGTTAAATGTCTCGTTAAAAAGAGGGAGAAATAAGAAGAAGAAGAAAAAGGCTAAGAACAAGGAAGTTGCGTATGGAGATAATGTGGAGATGGTGGCTAATGAGGAAAACAATGTTGAAGAAGAAAGTGGAATCGATGTCATGAAGGCTAAAAACAGAAAAGAAAAGAAGATGAAGAAGAAGAAGAACAAGAGAGTTCGTAACATGAAAGAGATGGGTATATACGACGTTGAAGGAACGAATGATGGTGACATGAGTGATGAGGAAGAGGCCGTTGAATACAACCGATTTGAAATATTGAATGATGTTGAGCTAAATCCAGACAATTTTGAGGGAGTGGTGATGGAGAACAATGTGGAAGATGGGAAATCTGAAATCGAAACTAAAGCTGAAATTGAGGAATTGAGTGAGGAGAAGAAATCTCAAGACAAATTGGTGGTGGAGGAAATAATGAGCAAAAACCCCGAAGTGGAGGCCAAAAGGCAAGTGAAACTGATATACGGAGAAGACATTAGAATTGCCTATATTCCTATTAATTGTAGCATTTTGAAATTGAGGGAGATCGTATGCAGCCGCTTTCCAAATTGCAAGGCCATCCTAATTAAGTACAAGGACCAAGAAGGTGACTTGATCACAATCACAAGAAATGAGGAGCTTCGGTGGGCTGAAACATCAACCCTTGACCAATGTTCAACCAGGCTGCATATTGTTGATGTTAACCCAGGACAAGATCCTCTTCTAGAGATGATCAAACAACAAGAAGAAGAAGAACAATATAAGGTAATTGAACATGAAAGCGAAGGAAGAAGTGGGCTGCAGAATATGGAGACGTTTGTTAACGATTGGATCATTCACTTTGCTTATCTGTTCAAGGACTATGCCGGGTTCGAATCCGATTGTTATTTGGGGTTACACGAAGTTGGTGTGAAGGCGTACTCAGAGGCTATGGAAGAGACGGTTTCCAGTGAAGAAGCTCAATACATTTTCAGCACAGCTGAAGAGAAGTTCCGTGAGCTGGCTTCTCTTGCTCTATTCAACTGGGGAAATGTTCACATGTTCAGGGCAAGGAGAAGGGTTTTCGCAGAGTATGGGGACGCGAGAGATGCCCATGTTTGGGCACAAGAGGAGTACTCATTGGCTGGAAGAAGATTTGAAGAAGCACTCAAGATGAACCCAAATTTTTATGAAGTCATCATTGCTATGGGTCAGCTTCAGTTTGAGCAGGCAAAACTTTCATGGTACTGCGCAACAACCACCGGCGCCGGTCTTGAATCATCCCCATCTTCAGAAGTTCCGTTTCTCTATAAGAATGCAGGAAAAAACATGGAAAGGGGGATTCAAATGTGGGAAGAGGCCTTGGTGCAGCATCTCCTTGAGGTCACTAACCAATGTGAGACCGATGAACTTTTGCGGCAAATGAAGTTGGAAAATCTGTTTAGTGAAATATCTGCAGAGGAAACCGCGGAGCGGGCAGCCAATATTAGGTCTCAGGTTAATCTTTTGTGGGGCACAATGATGTACAAGAGATCGGCAATGGAGTTCAAACTTGGGCTTCCTTCCTGGCAGGCCAGTTTGGAGGCTGCTGCTGATAAGTTTGAACTTGCAGGAGCTTCTCCTGAAGACATTGCTGTTATGATAAAGAACCATTGTTCCAACTCTTTACAAGGTGACTATTTCTAGTACCCATTTTCTAGTACTGTTAATGCTATTACACTGTAATATTTGTTCATCTGTTATTTGTGGCAATGTGTTGTTTTTTTCTTATAAATTTATATGTTTTTAGGAGTGGATGTCGATGAGACAGAGCAAGCATGGAATGAGATGTATGGAGCCATTAGGTGGCAAATGGACATTCCTGCTTTATATTTGGACCCATTGCTTCAAAAAAGAGTTTCCGTAACACGTCATGCCCCCGATCTTCCATGAGCTCTTACTATGACATAGACCAGCAACCGCTAGGGCTGCACCATGATGGTGTCTGTCTGCTGCGCTTAGTACTATGTAAGTACTAAATTTTGCTCATTGCGACAAAAATAACCGTATTCAAATTTTGCTCATTGTGACTAAAAGGAAAAGATGTGTTTGGTTGATATCGGTTCTCTCGTTTTCAAATTAACCTTTCTTCACACGAAACTATGTCCCATTTTTTTAACTCTTGAAAGTTGAAACTGACCCATCATGAAGCTACAAAGCTGCCTTTACACCCAATTATAGATAAGGAAATCAAGTAGAAATAGAGTATATCTAAAGAACATTAGTCTACAATTTTCTTTGTTTAGTCATATGAAATGATCTCTGCTTGAAATCTTTGGTCAATGGCTCTTTCCCTATGATAGCTTTGGATCAAGGCTGCCTTTTACCAGCTTTTGGTTAGACTCCTGAAATGATCTGTTTTGCAGGTATTGATGAAGCTTTAGCACAACATTTTTGGGGCTATTCGGCACATAAACGACGTCAACTTCTTTAGGATGGACACCAACATTTTATCTGACAGCTGGGTGAGATAGGATACATTGTAGATTTTTTTTCTTTTGTATTTTTTATTCTTTTTGTAAAATTTGTATAGTGGTGGTGCACCCTAAAGGGAATTTTTTTCAAACTTTCACCCAAGTTTTTTTCTTCTTCAAAGTGGGAGAGACAGATACTTGGGTGTTTCCTTTAAGAGTGGGTGGATCTCTTTTTGCCAATCGCCACCACATATGTAATGTAATTGTATATTCTTGTGATGCAACATTTATTAATCTATGACCATTTTGATAGGTTATTTATTCACTATGATAACTCTACTAGAACTTGGTTGGCATTAGGATCCTAATCTAAACTTGAAAAAAAATTTAGAATATTATTTCTATATCTTAGACAGACAGTATATAAAGAATGCAAGAGAATGATCTAAGTATAATAGGTTTTGCTTCGTCTAACACTATTTCCCACTAAAGCTGTAGATTTATGAGTGCTTAGCTTGTCACGTAGAAGCTTGAATAGCTTGATCTCCGAGGAATTCAAAAAAATATCTGTTAGCTCATCAACAAATGAAATATAAGATGTTTGTAGGACGCCTCCAAGTTTCTTCATGAGCAAAATGACAATTCACTTCAACGTGCATTAGGCCATAAANAAAACACAACAAATAGTTGGAAGTAGTATGTATTTTAATTAATATTTGTTTAAACTAAAAACATAGAATAAAAATTTCATTCATATTACATTTAAATATACAATATAAAAAGAGCAAATTTTAAAGGCAGATACTTAATTTTAAAAGTACATACAAAAAATTTAAAAGTTCCTTTTACCAAATAAATACGTAGGGTAATTACGTCCATCGAATAATTACCAAATAAATACCAAGGGAAACCCTAATTAGGTCGTAAGGGTAATTACGTCCATCGAATAATTACCAAATAAATACGTAGGGTATTTATTAGGTCAATGATCAATTAATTAGATAAATGATAACTCAGGCCACATAATAAAATCGTGTCCAACACCTTTGAAAATGTATTCATCATTAAGATTAAATATAAAATTAGATAACAAAAAATGAAAGTACATAATTTGAATTTCGTGTACTTAACGGGACCTGAGCTAAAATGTTTCCAAATGTTCATTTGGACATTTTTAACACAAATTGAAATGAAATATTAATATGAAAAATCCGTTCGTTAATGGGAGAAGTTGAAGGTGTTTCAATTCATGGAGTTTCTGCATTTGTCTCTGAAGTTCGACATGGAGACGTGGCACTTATGTCGTTTTCCACGTGGCATTCGTTCCAAAAAAGCAATCCACGTGGCAACCCATTCGAGAAAAGAGGCGCGTATAAATATGAGTGCGTACACGTAAAGTGCCTCCATAGAGTGGCAGCGATCCAATCATGAAGCCGGGAGACGATTCAAGCGGCAAAACGGTGACGTTTAGGGCGGTGAGCCGGGACGAGGAAGGGAGCAAGCGCGTGACCAAGTACGAGGTGGAGCCCCAAAACGCGGACACGCTGAAACACATCCAGAAGAAGCTGATGGACAAAGGGGTCCACCGGCAAGACCGGGATCCGGTGAACGGAATACCGCTTAACAAGCAGGCGGCGAAGGCCGGCCACGGCGGGAAGTTCACGTGGGAAGGGCCGGCGGACGAGGCGGAGGTGCAGCCGGAGGACTACGTGGCGGCGGCAATTGACGAGAATGACCCCAACTACGTGGACGAGGAGGCGGAGAGGAGCGGCGTGGAGGAGGAGCTCGTGGTGGAAGGGGGAGTCGACGTGCCGAAGGTGGCGGCGCAAGGGGTTGCTAGAGTGGATGTGCACCCGCAACTCCGCCGCATTGAGGCTTAGCTTTAAAACTGTCTTTTGTTTGTTTTGGGTGTTATATATAGTCCTTTCCTATTCTGCCTTAATTTACCAGTTTAATGTTTTATGTTAATAGACAATTTCAAAAAAGAATAAGAGAACAACATGTTGGGGATGTAGCTCAGATGGTAGAGCGCTCGCTTAGCATGCGAGAGGTACGGGGATCGATACCCCGCATCTCCATTTTTTTTATGACTCTCAATGCCCAATGTGTAAATATCATCCCAGCCCAATTTAAGAAAAAGATTAAGCCCAATCAAATGATAGAGATCATCCAAGCCCAGATAAACTACAATTTATTACACGAAAGCCCATCTCCTCAACATAGAGAAGTGAAGTAGCCTAGCCAGAGGGGTTCTTTTTCCAAGAAAGCAAAGAAGCTAAACAACAATGGCGGCCGCAGCTCTTTCTTCGACAGTTTCAAGGCTTTTCAAATCTACCTCCTCTTCCAGGCCTCTCTCCATCATCTCACCCAAAACCCTATCTTTTTCTCCCCCAACAATCTCCCGCCGTCTCCCCGGCGCCGTCAGGTTTTCCACCGCCCCAAGAATCTCCGCCGCGATCTCCGTCGGCGACAAGCTTCCCGACGCGACGCTCTCATACTTCGACTCCTCCGACGAGCTCCAGACCATTTCCATCTCCGACCTCACGTCCGGGAAGAAAGCCGTGATCTTTGCCGTTCCCGGCGCGTTCACGCCGACCTGCTCCCAGAAGCACCTCCCCGGGTTCGTGGGCAAGGCGGGGGAGATCAAGGCGAAGGGGGTGGACGCCGTCGCGTGCGTGTCGGTGAACGACGCCTTCGTGATGAAGGCGTGGAAGGAGAATCTGGGGATCAGAGACGAGGTGCTGATGTTGAGCGATGGGAATGGGGTTTTCACGAGGGGAATTGGGGTTGAGCTTGACCTCAGTGACAAGCCTGTGGGGCTGGGAGTGAGGTCCAGAAGGTACGCCATGCTTGTGGAAGATGGGATTGTCAAGGTCTTGAATCTGGAAGAAGGGGGAGCTTTCAATGTCAGCAGTGCTGAGGATTTGCTCAAAGCCCTCTAGAGGTTTCTTCTTCTTCTTCTTCTTCTTCTTCTTCTTCTTCTTGTTTTCTTGAATCTTGGCTGGGGATTTCTGGATTGGCTCCTCTTTTACCTAATAATGGCTGGTGATCAATAATGTATTTCTACTTGAGAGTGTATTGAGAGATTGTCTACTTTGAAATAATGATGATGATGATGCAAAGCTTTCATGCCTTTGGTTTTTTTATATACTCGGTTTTATGGTCACTTTACAGTTTTAATAGCTTAACTATGCCTACCCTAATCAAATGGTGTGTGGGAATCAAATCTATCTCCAAAGGCCCCTGAAGTTGTTGGTAATTAGATCTTCTTCAGACTAAATTCATGTTTTAGTACTCAAAACTTCATTGAAAGAAGCAACCTGATTTTAATATATAGTTTTGATTTATTAGTCTGCTATTTATCCGAAACTAAAATTGTATCAATGAGTTATCTTTGCTCATTTTCTCAATTTTATTAGCCTTAAATCAGATTCAATGAGACGAAGAGAACGTAACCTTGTCCATCACATCTAGAGGTGGGGGGCAAGGTTCTGCCCACTCCTTTGTTTCATAGTTTCAAGCTAGGTCCCAAAATGATTCCTTGAAAGACTTCAAAATTTCATGATCTGCATTATATTGGCACTTTTGTCTAAAATTGCCTTCAATTTATGCAGTTTTTTAATAATGTTTATATTGCTTATGTTAGACATGATTGTTACAGGGTAGCCAGCATCTTAGCGAGACGTGCTGAAGTGCAATCTTGTGTGTGGAACTGTAATCCTCTGAATTTTGTTGCTGATGCTTTGAGTAATTTATGGAAGTTTCTTCTACTTTGGAAAAAAATGAAAATCTTGTCACTACACTAAAATATGCTCCCTTTGTTTTTAAAAACATTTTCTCTTTCATTTTTTTTTTGTTTTCTGCAAAATACTTTCATTTTTTATTAAAAAACAATTTTTATCCCTACTTCATCTTATCCTACCTATCACACTATACTGTTTCACAAATAATCATACCATCATATCAAAGATAAAATTGAAAATCAACTACAAATATATATTCTTTATTTCACCAATTAGTCAAAACATCAATTTTTTTAGAAACGGAGGGAATAAAAGGATAAACAGAATCTAACAAAAAAGTAAAAGTCATGGAAATAATTTGCTTCGAGACAAAATGAAATTGGCAAATTCAATTTCAAAGAGATTTATGAAATAAAAAATTAAGAGTGATTAAACTTGTTTAAAAATGTGAAAATATTATGAACTACTCCCTACGTCTTAAAATGTTCTTTCTGTTTCTGTTTATAAGGTCGGATTGACTTTATTTTCAATTCAATTTATTTGATTGTAGGTGTAAAACTAAAAAAATAAAATTTATATACGGAGTATTTAAAAGCTATATCAAAAGTTTTACAAAATAAGAAGTAACAAGACTATATTGTTTTATTAAATAACTAACAAAGATAAGGAAAGAAAATGATTAAATTTGACTATGTGAATAGTAACTTAAAAGAGTGTTTTAGAACGGAGGAATTATAATATCTCCTTTACTCTTAAAAACTTGTAATTGAACTTTTACATTTGCCAATATACAAATTAAACTTAAATTGAAAGTCTCCACCTTTTAAATAGAGGTAAGGTTTGGGTACACACACTGTCACGAGTTGATTATTGCGGGACTCAACTAGATTATAATGTTGTTGTTATTGTTGCCAATATAAAAATTAAATTATCAACATCTTCACTTATCATTCAATAAAAAGTATTTAAAATGATATTATGAGAGTTTGTCAGATGAGTAGATATGAGAGAACTATATATTTAAAAATATATAAATAATACTCTCCATCTCAAAATATTTGTCATAGTTACAATTTTGTCTCAAAATAATTTTTGTTTATTTATATGTTTTCGTTGATCATTTGATTAAAGAATATTTAATAGAGTTTTTAAATATATGATTTATATTCTTTATTTTTCAAAGAATTTTTAATATAATCTTTAAGTAATTTATATTCTTTATTTTATATCAGTTTGTAAATATAGCTTTAGAAAAGATGCAATTTTATGTGTTCAAAATGAGATGACAATTATGAGACGAGACACTGGAGAGAGCATAAAATTTTGGTACAGAGTAATACTAATGGAATGATATGGGGAAAATTTACAAGTGTTGTTATTTACATTCAATAAAAAGAAAGAAGTGAAGTTAAAAGGTGTTTTGGTTATTTATGGATGAATAGTACAGCAACAACAAAATAAAATAAGGAAGCGTAGGAAGAAGAAAAGAAAAGCGCATTCGAAAGTTAGTTATTTAACAGATTTTTGAATAGACGACCCGTGAATCCCGCCAAACGGAAAGCACCGGTCGCCTTTCTTGTCCTCAGGAAACGCGGGTAGTAAAGGACAGTAGCCCCCACAAGATACTTATTCTATTCATAAATTTATTATATGCACTGATTTCGACAAATTAATTGCTCCCTCTAACCTCTCCCCACATTAGAAAAGCCTACAAATCTGCGAGGAAAGAAATGCCAAATTTGTAAATTTTAATACCAAATTTGTAAATTTATTTTATATGAAAATTGGTATATAATTAAATAATAAAAATTGCTCCATATTATATATTTAAAAAATTATAGCAAAAAATCTACAAAACTAAAAATAACTAAAATGATATGACTATTATTATACTATGTATCAAATTAACAACAAAAATATATAAATAAATAAAGTTTAATAATGTAAATAGCTAGTAAATGAAATAAATTTGTGAAACAATAGAGTTTTCACACTACACTTGTAAATACACATTATAATGTCGTGATCTTCAATTAAAAAATACTTTAAAATAATATAATGAGTCCATCACAATGTAATGTTATTGAGAACTATACTTTCTATTTTATATTACAGAAGATGATAATCAAATAAAAATATAACTTTACTCTCTCTCTTCACCAGAACTTTTCTTAATTCATTTTTACGTACAAAATATCATCTTTTTTAAAAAAAGAAATTGGTATAAAAAACAAAAAGTACTCCCTCTGTCACGCAAAATTTCTCTTTTTTTCATTCATCTCAAAAAAATTTCTCATTTCTATTAAAAAATTACTTTTACCTTAGTAATTCTTAAGTTATCTATCTTATCACATATTTTCACTATTAATAAATTTATTACATCTAATTTTACCTATCACATCCAATGACATTTTTTGAAAAGTCGACATCAAAATGCACCTCTTAAATGTCTTAAAAACCAAAACAAGAGATGTTTTGTGGGATAAAGGGAGTAAAACTTACATACTTAAAAATTAGATCAAAAATTATATAACATAAAATAAGTTATGACAAAATTATTTTAATAAGTAACTGATAAAAAACACACGCAAAGAAAAATTATCGAACACTTACAACAAAGGCAACAATAACAGGAAAGATTTTGATGAATGCAAAATTATCAAACACCTTTGAATAATAAACAGGAAAGATTTTGATGAACGGAGGATATACCATTTATAGAATCAAACTTAACTCACTTTGCTTATTTTAACTACTCATTTCATAAAATAATACTCTATATAATCTTGTGACCTCATACTTTTGTAAATTTTTAATTTAACTTTTTAATATAATAATTCTATTTTCAAATATTATCCCTAAAATTAAATAAGTTTAACTAAAAATATAGGCAATCAAGCATGAATGTAATAAGAAAATTTATAAGAGACAAAGAAAGTATAAAATTCGGGGCGATTGCATTTATTCGAGAGTGGGGAAAATATTTCTCACTAATACTCTTTGGAATGATACGGAAGATGTTTTACTCTGTATTGGTGTTTTCTTTACTTTTGATGAGAGAGAAAAGGATGGGAAATGAAAAAGGTGTTAAACTCTACGTGGGGAGGACATTTGAAAAGTTAGTTATTTAACAGATTTTTGAATGGACGACCCGGGACGAATCTCACTGACTATCAACTACTTTATCAACTGGAAGCACCGGTGGCCTTTCCCGTCCTTCTCTCAGGAAAGACGGGTAAATGACAGATTGTAGCCCCCACCAAATACCTATCCTATTGATAAATTTATCCGCCTATTAATGAATTTTTATAGCCACTGATTTCAGCAAAAATTAATTACTGCCCCGGATTTAGAAAAGCGTACAAGACCGAACCACTGGCGGGGACCACTAACGACGTCACTAACGGCACCGCGCGCAGATCTGAAACCCATGCAAACCTAACGGCGCACCGCAGGAAACAAGGATCCAGGCGTAACGGCTTCGACTTCTAACGGCGTCACGGTCGTCGTGAAACCCCAAATTCGACAATTCAGAGGCTCCCCTTCGCCAGATGTCGGAAACACCGTTCCTCGTTCCCTCACGTGTTGAAAAGGTGCTCGGCCGCTTCAAAAGCCGGAAAACTTGTAATGCGTGAATTTACGTCACTGCCCCCCTAACCACCGTTCTTTAATGATCTTATTAATCTATCTTATTTAATTGTTATTACTTCTGGGTCAGTTAAATATGGGAGAACTAAAAAAGAGAAGAAAAAAACAGTGCTTCGTATTTAATTTAACAGTGGTTCACTGGTTTACCGGGAGAACAAGTTACAAGTAACAAATGCATTTTATATCAGTCTAGACAAACACTACTTTGTTTGGTTTTGTTTGTCCTACTCTCTCTCTCTCTCTCTCTTTCTCTCTCCCATCTAAAGACCAGCTCCAGTTTGTTCTCTGCCGCCGGCAGCCAGATCTCCGGCAATGGGTCATTTCTCAGGTGAGCAAAATTGATTGATATGTATATGTTAATAGATTCAATCAATTAATAATTGGGGATTTTCTTTGTTTTTGTTTTCTTTCTAAGATAGAAAGAGGAACATTGAAGAATAAAGTGCTGTTCAAGTTGAAGATCAAGACAGATTCTGTAAAGATTTGTTTTTGTTCTTTTGAAATCTATCACTAATCCATATAATTTTAATTTTTGCCATTTATTGAATGAATAACAATAAATATTAGAGACTCTAATTTTATTATTAAATTAGATAAATTGTTGTCAGACATCAGTTCCTGTCTCCAAAAGGGGTAGAAATATAGGTTTGGGTTTTGTCTTTGGGAGATCTGAGCTACAGGCAATAATTTGATGTATGACAAAAGATTAAATTTTGATAAATGAAATGACTTGAAATGAAAACTGTTTCCCCGGATTTAAATCCATCTTTTTAAGCTTGCAGCATTTCAATTTTCTATTGGATCTGATAGATTTTTCTTTTCTTGCACAGGAGATTTTGTGAAGTTAAAATTTTTTTAGCTGGAGGTTAAAGAGATCTAGAATTTACTTGAAACAATCAGAGGAAAAGTTGTGAAATCATAGAGGGGAGGAAGGGAGAAGGAGAAGAATTTTGCCTGTTTGTTTGTATAGCTGTGGAATGGATTCTGGGATAGGAAGTTTGTTTCCGGGAGCCAAAGATTTGAGGACAGACATCATTAATGCTTGGGTTCCAGCTACCCCAGCAAAGCCCAATTTGCCGGAATTGGAGCCTATCAACCAGTTCAACCAAATGCTTGGTAATGGGCATCAGTCAGTTCAACCAAACCTGGCAAATTTCTGCAATGATCAAAGGAACGCATCAGTACTTGGAGGGTTCTCACTGGAAATCGACAGATTGGAAGCATCGGTTTCCTCAAGCTCCACTGTGCAAAACTTATTATTAGGAGAAAATGTAGACAACTTCAGCTCTATGTCATTTCAGTCTCTCTTAGCACTTGCCGAAAATTCAAATTCACATAATGCATTGAATTCCCCCTTCAATTCACAGAATACAGGTATCAGCAGTTTTAAGAAATCTATATTGTTGCTTTCATACAGATTGACTGACAATCTTGTCAAAGTTGGGGTGTTTTTTATTAGAAGCCATCTTTTGGTGGATGAGAACTTGAGGTTTTCCAGCCCTAACACTTTATTTTACCAAACAAACTTTTAGGGGAAAAGTGTGGCTGCTTAAAGCATTGAGAATACCAGACATTATAAAGAAATTGACCATGTGAAAGATGTTTGGGTTGATAAAAAGATACTAGTCGCACACAAAAAAATATTTTAACGCATGTATAACTTACCTGGATCAGAGTTCTTACAAAAATATCCAATAAGTGTAGATGGTAAAGATGCATGAACTTGTGGAAAAGGTTGTAAAATGCCGCATAGTACCATACTGCCAGAAGGGAGATAGTAATACAGAGTATAATCAGTATATATTTGTGAAATTGACACAGCTTTAGAATCTACCATTAACTTCACCTGCTAATAAGAATACCCCAATCAGAGCTCAATATATCATTACCTTTTCTCGCTATATAGATCAGCAAAAAACTAAAAAGAAAAAAATTGAACAAGTATGTTTTTTATAAGTTGTCTCTGAAGTATAGAAAATACAATAATGTATATACGGAGTATATATTTTAAGCAATAACTGTCAACACACACAAACATTCTTATAATGTTTAGTATTGGTGCTTCTGCTTTCAACATTATATTCATTGAGCTAATATGATGCAAAATGCATGTGTGAGCAGATGGAAATTCTAGTTGCTCCCGAACCTCTTTCAATCTGAATCATCCACCCATGAGAGATGCAGACTCTAGCAGCAACAACAGTTCACTTCGTTTTGCACCCATTACCCCGGCTAAGAACATAGGAACAGAGGAAATGCTAAACTTGTCTCTAAGCATTAATGAGATACAAGCATCAAGTGGCATAGAAGAAACTGTTAAAGAAAGTAAACTCCATGAAAAGGAGGAGCTGTCGGTGCTGATGAAAGAAGTATCAGACTTGGTGGAGAATCACAAGCCTGACAAGGAAGGGGAATTGGGCACAGATATTATTAATAATGATAGTAACAATAATAATAAGACACCACAGCCGAAACCAAGAAGAAAAAGACACAGGCCAAAAGTTGTAATCGAAGGCAAAGCTAGAAGGAGATATGCACCAAGAACCCCAAACGCCACACCAGGTGCGGGGGAGGGGGCTAAGACTAAAAAGAGGAAGTACGTGCAGAGAAATGGAGTAGACAGGGTTGCAGCCACTCCTTCAGATGAGGGTTCAAATGTAATAGATCCTGAAAAGAGGCCCAATGACACTCCAACAGTGAGGAGAAGGGGTCCTAAAGGAAACCCAGGACATGTAGCCACCCCTTCACTTGAAGGTTCAATTGTAATAGATCTTGAAAAAATGTCACCTGATTCCAACAAGACCCCTAAAGTGAGGGGAAGGCGTCCTAAAAGAAATCAAGGGCCAGCAGCCACAACTACTGATGAGTGTTCAAACGTAATAGATCATGAAAAAATGGCAACTGGTTCTGATGAGACCCTGAAAGTGAGGGGAAGGCGTCCTAAAAGAAATCAAAAACCTGCAGCCACCCCTACAGATGAGGGTTTAAACATAATAGATCTTGAAAATCTGTCCACTGGTTCCGACAAGACCCCAAAAGTGGTGAGAGGGCGAGGTAAAAGAAATCAAAGGCTGGCAGCAGAAGATGGTTCAAATGTAATAGATCTGGAAAAAATTCCCCCTTCTTCCAATGAAACCCCCAAAGTGAATAGAAATTATTCTCGAATAAATCAAGGCCGCAAGTCCCACAAAAATCGCATTGAAGAGAGCAGTGAAAGTACTCAACCAGAGGCAGTTTCTAGTCCTAGAGGATCCTGCAAGAAAGCATTAGAGTTTGAACATGAGGAATATGAAGATTTCCCTCAGCCATCTCCAAGCTTTGGAAATTCCAATGTGCGGAGAATCTGTAAATTGAGTGGTAAATCAATCCCAGTCATTGAACAAGAGTGGTCACAAGGTGCAGAACTAACTGAATTGGACATTACTACTCAACTACCAAACATCATGAATGACGAGAATAGGAAGTTTCTTTCACAGCAAGGGACACAAGTTCTTGATCCTTTGACTCCCGGCAAGATGGATACCTCATATGACAAGTTGATGGATGGAAGTCCAGTGAGAGGAAAGTGTAAAATCACTTTTTCAGACACAACTCACTACATATACAAAAATATGACAGAAATGAAAAGGAACATTGGAACACAATGTGTGACTGGCAGCCAAAACAGCTCCTCCAACTTTTCCTTCAATGCATTATTGACAGAGAAAACCACAGTAAGAGGGTCTAAAAGACAGCACCCTTGCTCCAGCGAAGCAAAACTGCACAGTACAAATGGTGCTGGAATTTATGGGAACTCTTTGCAGGCATACAGACATGCTCTTCCACTCGGTGGATACAACATCGACAGATACTCTGGGATGCATTTCCCTATAAATGATACGAAGAAGAGAGGTGAAAATGTATGCATCCCTGCAACATCTTGTTCTAAAAACCTGACAACTGATCCTTACCACATGATTCGAGCATGTCAGTTTGGTGATAATGGCTCCTTGTCCAATAATGCTGCAGGCGGAGCTCAGTCTCTCAGGCATCATCTCCCATTGAGCATTGACATGTCAGAAAGGAAGAGGTCGAAAGGCCTATCTCGAGTGTGTGATGTGGTACCCTCACATCAGATCTACAATCAGTTCACGACTTCATCCACAGAAACAACAGCAAAACAACAAATGACAGTGTTTGATAAAAGCATGGGAACTCTTGTTGCTGATGCTCACCCAGCAATGGCAACAAAAACACATTTAAAAAGAAACAGCTTCAACGGTGTGTGGTGGCAAACTATACATTCCAATGTATATTAGAGAAATAAACTTATGTGCGTATATTGCTAACGTTTTTCTTATAACATTTGGTTCAGGTCATTTGCATGCTATGGCATTGAGAGACATTTCTCCAATTGACGAAATCACAGAACGGCTAAGACATCTTAATATAAATGGCGGTTGCCAAGTTCGGTACGCACTTGGTAATAATAACTCAAATTCCCAAAGGGAAACTGCCCTTGTTCTTTATCAAAGAGATGGAACGATTGCTCCTTTTGTGGAGGTAAAAAAGAGGAGACGCCGGCCAAAAGTTGATCTTGATGATGAGACTACTCGAGTATGGAAACTCTTGCTTCAAGATATAAACAGCCAAGGCATAGATGGAACGGATGAAGAAAAGGAAAAATGGTGGGAAGAAGAGCGAAAGGTGTTCCGTGGAAGAGCTGATTCATTTATTGCTCGCATGTGTCTTGTCCAGGGTAATCATTGAAAATTGAACATCCTAGTAGCCATCTAATTTTTGCGAGTTTGACATTTCCGTCTTTTACTTCCTGAAACAGGTGACAGACGCTTCTCTCCATGGAAGGGGTCTGTTGTAGATTCCGTTGTTGGGGTTTTTCTAACTCAAAATGTTTCGGATCACCTCTCCAGGTTATTAATTTTTGAATTCTAACTTTAAGGTTTATTTTATTAGCTTAATTATTGTCAACTTATGTTCAAATTCAAACATGGAAGTTGACCTTCGTGCAGTTCTGCCTTTATGTCGCTTGCTGCAAGATTCCCGCCAAAATCAAGTACCAGTGCACAATTTTGTGAAGAGAGAACCAATGTAATTGTTGAAGAACCTGTTTGTGTGATGGATCCTGATGACACAATTGCATGGCATGAAGGTCCTTCAAACAAACCAAATTCTGGTAAAGGTTCAGTGATATTCAAGGAGATGGGTTGGAATGAAGAAGTTATCAACAGCGAGTTGACTGAAGATACCTCCGCTTGCATTAAGTCGGCAGAAAACTCTGAAGACAAATGTTTTTATTCTTTTGAAAAAGATCCAGATGTATATCACGGATTAACATTAGGTAGGCCATCAAGTTGGATGAATAAGGAAGAGGTGAGTGCTCACAGCAGCCAAACAGAAACAGACATTGTGCTGTCCTCTCAGAACTCTGGAGTCTTCTCACATAATTCTGTGGACTCCTCACATATTCAAACTGTTGACAGAATTGAAACCATCAGTTCTTACACTGGTCCTTTCTCCCAGCTATTAGAGTTGGCCTCAACAAAAAAGCTACATGAATACAATCAGGAAAACAGATCAGCTAATATGGATGTGCTAAACCAAGATATGGGGTTCCAGAAGAACAAGGAAGACGATACGGGATCTATAGATACAATTGCTTCTTGCAGTACTGCTGACTTCCCACTAAAGGCCAACATGGAAACACCAGGGGTAAGCTTTTTTGGCCCTCCACGGGATGGTGACAAGCTTAATGGTCACACAAGAGAACACTGTGCTCTCGAACAAAGTAGTTCATCAACAAAATTACCAAACCAAGCAACTAACCAGAAGATCCTACCAGAGGAAAATGACAAGGTTTGCAACAGTCATCAAATTGGGATGAATGTGAGAATAGATAAAGATCCAATAGTAGATTTACAAGAAAGAAACTGTGATCTGCTGCTAAATCAAGAGTGTCCAACTTCTTTGGAGATTCCTGATATTACAGAGAGAGTCAACACTGTTTATTCACAATCAAATTCACAGGGTCAGGATAAACATCTTGATACCATTGATAGAACAAACAGCAAGACCTCTAAAGGGAAAGGGGGGAAGCCTCGGAGAGAGAAAGAAGTAGAAATTAATTGGGACTTATTAAGGGAAGAGGCTCAGTCAAGTGGCAAAAAAAGAGAGAGAACATGGAACACATTGGACTCATTGGACTGGGAGGCAGTGAGATGTGCAAATGTCCACGAGATTGCAGAAACTATCAAAGAGAGAGGAATGAACAACATGCTAGCAGAAAGAATACAGGTACATTCATTATCTATATGGGCAAAAAATATTTCATCTAAAACATTGATCCAATTACTCTTCTTCACATTAACATACAATGTTCTCTATTAAAATTGAGAAGGAACAATAAAATGAAAAATATTACAGGAGTTTCTAAACAGGCTTGTAAAAGAACACGGTAGCACTGATTTAGAATGGCTCAGAGATGTTCCACCAGACAAAGCGAAGTAAGTGCATAAGTTCTCAATATTACTGATCAACTCCAAATTATATTGTTTTCTTTATGTTACAAGCGTTATTGCATGAATTCTGTTTCAGAGAGTATCTATTGAGCTTCAGGGGGTTGGGTTTGAAAAGTGTTGAGTGTGTCCGGCTTTTGACACTCCACCATCTAGCTTTCCCGGTAAGATTTAGCATCAATTACACTATGGAAATCATTGCGGAAGAGATATTTACCTGACTTAGGTTTTAATAAGGTTGACACAAATGTTGGGCGGATAGCTGTAAGGCTTGGGTGGGTGCCTCTGCAGCCACTGCCGGAGTCACTGCAATTGCATCTTCTAGAGCTGTACGTGATGTGCTTTCACTTCTGCAGAATTTCTCAGGTTGATTGTGCAATGGTAGACTGATATTGATATACTTATGCAGGTACCCTATCTTGGAATCCATCCAAAAATATCTTTGGCCAAGACTCTGCAAGCTTGATCAAGGAACACTGTAAGTATAACTTCCTAGACATGATAAGCAACACTGTAAGATAGGTTTTGCTCTTGAATTCCACAATGGCAACAGCTGATTTAAAATTATATCTGATTGCAGATATGAGCTACATTACCATATGATTACATTTGGAAAGGTCTGGAACTGCTATTATATACTCCGTATCTCATAAGGCCAACTGTCTTAATTGAGTAAAAAGCTAACACTGGTTGGTACCACTTTCATAGGTGTTTTGTACAAAGAGCAAACCAAATTGTAATGCATGCCCAATGAGAGGAGAATGCAGACATTTTGCAAGTGCATTTGCAAGGTTTGCTTTTAGTATTATGACTTCAACACACCAATATTTTTGGTTTTTTATTATTTATTCCAGTTATAATGTTAGGTCTTGTTCACTAGAACAATGGCAACTCCAACTAGCATCAGTGAACTGTTTTCAGTATTAATATAACTTTATATGTTTTGTTTGTTGTTTAAGGAGTTTAAAGTTGCTTTAAATACCTGACTGAAGAAAGTCAATGAGCATGGACATATATTTAATACTCCCTTCGTCCTAAAGTATATGTCCAGTTTAACTTTTTTCAATCAAAGAAGACTAACTTTGAATATAATTTAAGTAAATGTTGCAATGCAATGCACAATAATATAAAAATGATTTCATTAGATTTCTAGCAAAGAAAAAGACAAATAAATTATTTTTAACAAAGTTTTTACACATTTATTACAAATACGTTACATTAAAATGGTGAATCATTCAAATGGGAGACCGTGAGAAGTCTAACCAGACAAATACAATGGGATGGAGGTAGTATGGATTAAAATGTTGCAAGAATGCAATGGCACACGCAAAATTTGTCACTAGTTAATATCTGCATCTGAAAAACACATTCAAATGCACATTCATGTTAAACTTAATTACATGTTTACATTTATGAGTAATATGTAAAGTGTGAAATTTTACATATTTTCATGAAGTGATCCTGATGAGTGATGAATACTGTTCTTGCAGTGCAAGACTTGCACTTCCTGCACCAGAGGAAAAAAGAATTGTGAATATGTGTGAAAACATACACGCTCAACAAAACCCAAAAGAGAATACCAATCTACTACAGCTGCCTTTTCCTGAGAGCAATCCACAATCAGTATCACATTATGCTGTCAGTAACTCTCAACCTATTATTGAAGAACCATCAACACCTGAGCCTGTAATTGAAATTCCTGCCACACCAGTGCAAGAGCAAATACCATCAGAACCTGACATTGAGGATGCATACAATGACGATTCTAATGAAATTCCTACTATTAATCTAAATCTGATTCAGTTTGCTCAAAATGTAAAGATGTACGTGCAAAACAATATGGAACTTAATCATGTTGAGATGTCAAATGCTCTGGTAGCATTAACTCCGGAAGCTGCTTCTATTCCGATGCCTAAACTTAAAAACATTAGCCGGCTTAGAACTGAGCATCATGTGTAAGTATATGTATTAATCTGTGGTTAGCACTATAATTTAGCATGTCTTAGACAATGCCTGCCTACATAATCATCAGCAAGTAACTATGTAAGCATGCCCTCTTATGCACTACATCATTGATGCTTTGCTTCTTTCTCTATTTGCAGCTATGAGCTTCCAGACAATCATCCACTTCTATGTGGGGTTAGTAAATTGAATTTGCTTAATATGTGACATTATCTTCATAACTTTTTCAATTATTTACTTACTTATCTTGCAGTTGGAAAAACGAGATCCAGATGATCCCTGCTCTTACCTTCTGGCCATATGGACACCTGGTAAGGAAACAAAATCCACCTGGCCATATGTTCAAATGCAACATTTCATATAATATTACAATGTTAGGGAAAAACACCTAGTGTGCTTAATAACTAGACACTAATGATTTTATATTGACATAGCAAGACTGGTGTCTGACTTATAGCATGAATAATAGAATTTGATTTTATAATACTCCCTCCGTCCAACTTTAATCTTCCCACTTTCCATTTCGGTCCGTCCACAAATAAACTTCCCATTTCCTTTTTTGGCAACTTTTCTTTGTTAAAATGACTTATGTACCCTTATCCCCCCATTCATATTTTCTTTTTTCTTTTTTCTTCTACTCGCCCCAACCATTCCTTTTCTTCTTCTCTCTTCGACTTCTCATTTTTTTTCTTCTTTGCAGCAACTTCTGGTTTTTGTTTTCTTTTTCTTCTTCTCTTTTTTCTTCTTGTTCTTCTTTCCGTCATCTTCTTCTCTTCTCTTCCACCGACCCCTCTGCCGGGGTGTTTGGAGGGGCGTTTTCTTTTCTTCCACAGGGGTGTTTTCTTGAATCTGCTCCTCCGCCAGGGTGTTTTCTTTTCTTCCACCGACCCATTTTTCTTTTTTTCCTTCTTTTCTTCTTCTTCTTCCTTCTTTTCTTCTTACACTTATCCTGAAGCTTCATTTTTGCACAGTAGCCTCACCAGTCACTGCAAATGCTCAGATCTGTTCATCCACCGTCGTTGATTTTGCAGATCTGCTCATCCTCTGTCATCATCTACTTGCTGGATGGGTATAATCCATGATGATTTGAACAAATCTAGCCCTAGAATGACAATTGATGGTAATCCATTTTCAATTGCCCATTTACAATCTGAACGAATCCATAATCGGATGCATCTCTGCTAGCAGCATCTTAGATCCATTTTCCGCCACCGTCAAAACCTTGAATCTGCTCCTCCGCCGGGGTGTTGTCTTCAAGAAGAGTATGTAGAACATATTCATCGTTTCCCACATTGTCTTCAATGAGAAGATGGCAGCAACTGGAGCTAGAGAGGTCATCCGCGGATAAGCTACAGTGGTCAGACCAACTATGTTGTACGGTAAAGAATTTTGAACGATGAAAGGCATTCGTGTTTGGAATCTTCAAATGGTAGAGATGAGGATGTTGACAGAAATGTGTGAGCATACGAGGATGGATCAGATTTGGAATGATTTGAGGGAGGGTGTGATTGGTCTCAATGGAGCTAGACTCGAATGGTTTGGGCATCTACATAGTAGAGGTACAGATGCCCTAGTGAGGAGGAGTGACTTGTGAGAGGCTGGTGGTAGAGGGTGTTATGAGTGGTAAAGGTAAACCTAAGAAGAGTTGATCTGAGGTGGTTAGACAGGATCTCACCAAGGATTTGGCCTTAGATGAGGTCATGCGGAGGTTTAGGTTTAGGGTGGTAGGATAGACTTTTAGGCCTTAGTTTGCAGTTTATGTGTATTTTGTGCCTTTGTATCAAGATTGTGCATGTGTGTTTGTTTTTTTATTTGTGATCTCACTTTGTCCATGCAACTTTCCTTTGTTCTTGCAAATTGTAATCATGTGTTCCCCACAGTCTCCTAGAAAGTCTATCTTCTTTCAAAGTAGAGATAAAGTCTGCATACACATACCTCCCCCACACTGCCCTGTGGGAATTACTGGGTGTATTGTTGTTGTAATAATTGGATGGTGTAGGTGAGACCCAATGTAGGACATATTGAACTTGTGCATCCTGCTGGAAGTGGTCTCTAAAATGAATCATAAACATTATTTTTTTCTCTCCCCGTTTATTTCATATCAGGTGAAACTGCAAGCTCTATTCAACCTCCAGAGAGGCTATGCGATTCCCAAGACTTGGGCAAGCTATGTCATGAGGAAACATGCTTTGCCTGCAATAGCATACGTGAAGCACAATCTCAAACTGTTCGGGGAACTATTCTGGTGAGGATGAGCATAGAATTTCTAGCATCATAACCTATATAAACCGAATTGCTTGAGGCGATTGTATCGTCCTCCATTGTCCCAAACGTCTAATAAAACAGTGTTAGCAGATACCCTGTCGAACCGCAATGAGAGGAAGCTTTCCCTTAAATGGCACATACTTTCAGGTCAATGAGGTAAAGCACGTCTTCTAAGCTAATATATGTCTGCAGTACAATACATATCAAGGTATTTATGGTACTGGGCTGTTGTGGGACTCTATTGGGTTGTTGTTGTTGTTCTTGTACAATATATATGCATACATACATACATACATACATACATACATACATATATATATATATATATATATCAAGGTATCATTTTCCTGAAAATGATTTTCTCAATCATAAAAAAAAAATAAACAGGTATTCGCTGATCATGAATCCAGCCTACAACCAATTGATGTTCCGAGAACTTGGCTGTGGGATTTACACCGAAAAACTGTTTTCTTTGGAACCTCAATACCAACAATATTCAAAGGTAAAATGATGACTGACAAACTGGAGTGAGTTGCATTACTACAGTAGTTTGAATTTGTCTGATATGTTTGTCTGTTTATAGGCCTATCAACAGAAGATATCCAACACTGCTTCTGGAAAGGTATGTGGTATGAATGATTTTATTTAACATAACGCAAACGTGTAGAGCTGAAAAAACATATGTTCTAGAGCTCTATATTTCAACCCCATCATATTAACTATTTTAATCTAACAAACTCTCTATAGAACAAAAACAAGCATAAATAAGAGTGAATTCAATACATGGAAAATAGGTTCCCTTAATAAATATTTTCCATAATTTCATTGCTCGTAATTGGAAAAAAAAAGCATTAGATTCTTGAACAAACTTACATTGTAAAATAAAGGGCATCAATTATGGAATAAAAAATTATTACAAGGTATTAATATTAAGGCTGAAAAATATAAGGGGCGATGTACCTTATTTCAATGTTTCTACTTTTGCCAGCACTTCTCATTTGTGTTACTTATTTTGTAAACTCTACTCTTGGGTATCCTGATCCTTATAAAGTATTTCTAGCAATAAAAGGACTGTTTAGGATATGACCAAATAACTGATGCCTGTCCATTTTCTCTAATCTCTAGTTTGAGTGTGTGACAATGCTCTACCATTATTCTTAATAGAAGAGAATAGGAAACCTGATTTTCCATGTAGGAGATTATCTATCTCATGTTTCACTTATATTTGGAAGCTTATCTATGTGTTATTCAGGACATGTTACAATTGGTAAACTTTGCAGGGTACGTTTGTGTTAGAGGATTCGAACGCAAGACCCGGGCTCCTCGACCACTAATGGCCCGACTGCACTTTCCTGCCAGCAAAATGGCTAAAACAAAAACCAGTAGGGACGAAGCCTAGGCATTGAAGCTTAGACATTGACCGGTTTATGTAGCCATTGTTGACAGTCATATCATCATAGCAGTTCATAACAGAAGGCACCATATCATTTCATGATATCGAGCTGCTTTATAGAAATAGGCATTTAGATGTAAATATATTTGGAACATTTGAGTGATGATGTAACCATTTGTTTCTCAAAATTATGTTTCACTGATGTTCTTGTAGACAGGGAAGAGAAATACCAAAGTAACGGCCAAATTTTAGGAGTATATTATATTGACTTCAATTTTTTAAAATCAAACTGCTATTCTAGTTATTAATATCAACTCTTTCTTCTTAGGCTATAATATCCCTCTGCAAATGCTTTTTTTCTCTTCTATGGGTTGATTGGGTTCATATATGCGTCTCCTAATAAAAGAACAAGATGAAATTTCTGTATCTCGTTTGTGCTTGAGGCTAATTTGTGCAAAAACAGAGACTTCCGTGTACTACACATAGTATTTTAAATTTATGAATAATAGTCTAAGCCTACGGAACTAACAGATGGGAGGAAATAGGAGCATATCATTTGAACATCGAAATTCAACAATTGAAAACTTGCGCAACACGAACCTTGTAGATCTGACGTGCTTGAAGAGTTGAACAATTCCTTGAATCGCATGAAATCGCATCTCGATACGAACACTCGTCGTCACATCGGATGTTTCTCGGCGTTCAAATTCAAACTGGGATCCCAATCAACAACATCGGACTAGCTTTAGGGAGTCGCAGAAGAAAAAAGGGGCGAGATGAATGGAACAAATAGTTCGTCGTTTCTCAGGTCGATGATTGTTTGCAGTGAATGCTGAAATAGAAAATTGCCTCTTCGCCTTCGGAACGAAGAAGTATGTGGGTAAGATATGTACAGTCGGAAATGTTTCCCGCCAATTAATTTCGAGTTCCCTCCCAATTTCATCTCCGCCTGATTTTTACGCGCTGGGTGCTGGATTTGTAAACTGGTAGGGCCGGCCCTGATATTAGGGGAAGAAAATGGGTCTCTAAATTTTAAATTTAAATTTGAAACTAGCACCCCCAAAGCCCCAAACCAAAAAAAAAAAAATACTCTGTAGAATAAAAGGATGAGCCTCATCGCGGAGGAGCCCCGAGACCTGATTGGACGGTTATTTAGAGAAGGTAAATTGAATTTTGATTGCAGATTGTGAAAAGAGTCTACCGTACAATTAGGTCTACGGTGCTCTATCTACATCCGAAAAATACGCATTTCAGAATAACCGATTGTTTATTTTCACCTATTCTTTATTTAAATTTTACAGTAATATTCATTTGAAAATAATATTGTGACTCTGTATGAGGGAACGAGGACTAGGTTTGAAAATATGCTAGTATGGAACAAAGCTCATTGAATGAAACTACTTTGCGACGTTGCAAGTAAAAGGAAGTATTCGATCTTAAAAAGGGGGAAAACAAGATAAAATAATTTAAACTTAAAATATGTATCATTCAAACATACTCCGTAGAATAATAAAATTATGGTTCCTTCAATTATAAAGTGTTTGGATGAAAAATATAAGTGAGACATAATATCAAAATTATATATGAAATGTTGGTATCGTTGGATAGTGATGGTATAAATTAACCATCTGGACAAACTTTACTAGGCCGGGTATAGGATAGTTTGATGAGCTCAGATAATGAAATGGTGTAGAAAATAATGATTGGCCGGGAGGAAAGTGGGTGGAAACATTTGTACTCTTGTTGTTATTAAGTACATAGAAGAGTACAGGGATGTATTACACAATATGCTATAGAGAGATAAAGTTCGGATCATTTCTATTGAGGATAACAAAGCTATTCATAGTGAAGCCTATTAGACAAGACAAAGAATGCTCGCGTTCTTGAACGGTGCGAGGTGACTTCCCTTGTCACGTAGCGCTTGTCATGCTCATTTGTTGGCTTTGTGCTAATGGCACCTCTCTTGGCACATAGTGTTTAAATGAGAATATCCGAATATTCTCTGCGATCTTCAATCGCTACCGTCCAACCACACTTGAATTATTCTTGCCGACACATGTACCTCAAAACTGACCACCCAGTACGAGTCTCGAAAACATGTCTTGGTGGTTTCTTGAAGGAACGTTTGATCACTCGAGGATCCCCATGCAGTGTCATGCTAGTGAACCGGTTGCCGAAAAGTCACCTGGGTGGTCTGATTGAACCTCACACGAGAAGGGTATAGTTCCACCCAAACAACCCTGCTGCATAGTACCTGGACCTTGCCCAAGTGGTCTTGGATGAATCCCATTCGGACAGAGTACAGTCGTACAGATCCACCTAAACAGCCCTGCTACATAGTATATGGACCTTGCCCGGGTGGTCTTGGTTGGGCCCGACCCAAGTCATGGCCTAAATGGATTACACCCATCAGTAGATATCGTGAAATGTTTTTCAATGGCATATTATTTATTAAATAAGTAATCACTTGCATATAAAAAACTATAAACATCATAGATGATGCAATTTTAAAACTAATTAAACAGAAAAAAACAAAAAGAGTGCCTTACCTCTATTGTCTTGCTCACACGACACTAACCGCAGGAATGGACAACGGTAAGGAAGGACAAGTGTTCAATCGGGATCACAACATATGTGACATTGTCACATCCGATCACATACAGAAAGTTGGGCATTGATTGGAGCACCGTGGAATGCTTTATGAGTCAAATGAATTCACAACGTTACATTCGTATTAAAGATCGAAGAATATGATATTGTGAAGTTAGACAATTGCATGTTATTACTAAAATAATTTTGTTGCAATTTTTGACTCATTGGAAATATGACATTGTTCATTGCAAAGATTGAAAACAGAATTAACGTTAATAGTTTATTATAAGGTTGATTTTTTGAGTAAATTTCATAATTGATTCTTTATAACATGAGGGTTTTCATATTTAGTCATCTATTATCAAATATTACTCTCGTAGTCCTTTTTTTAAGGGTGTCTTTCCACAAATGGTCCTTTTTTTATCTTCCGCCACGTGGGTATTAATTTAAAGGCTAAAAGTATAATTTGACATTAACATTATGTCTAGTGATGTGTTCTGATATTGGTTAAGCGGATAAAACAAAAATAATGACTATAATTGTGGGCTATAATTCCGAAAGAAGACCACATTTGTAGACTATGGTTGTAGTAGAAAGAAAATGTAATTCACAAACGACACAAACGGAACAACCTTTGGAATTGTGTATAGTATGACAAAAAAGATATATTATCATTGTGAAATTATACTTTTAGCCCTCAAATTAACACTAACATGATAAAAGATCAGAAAAAGGACTATTTGTGGAAAGATACCCATAAAAGAAGGACCACTGGGATAATATTTGATAATAGAGGACTAAATAGAGAAATCCCCTGTTATAAAAGACTAATTATAGAATTTACTCATTTTTTTGCTTGAGTGGTAAAAAGAGCATTCTCCGATGCTCACCCAATATAAACAAATATTACGGAGTATACTATTGAATTTTTGTACACAACTTTTGTAAATGGTACCTCATCCGTACCATTTTTAATCGTCACTTCTAGTTTATGATGTTTAAATAAAATTATTTTAAAAATATTGTATTGGAGAACTGGAGCATGATTAAAAAATAAGCTTACATATTAAAAATCTACATTAAAATTTTACGAAATAAAATGTGACAAGATAATACTCCGTATTATTTTGTCAAATGGGTAACAAAAATAAGAAAAGGAGACTTGAAAAGTCACAAGTAAGTGAGCAAGTTTGTGGTTCTTTTTTTTTCATAAAAAAAATGAAAATGTGACCTGGAAACTCAACCACGCATCAGGATTGCGCCACGGAAGAGAGCGTCCAAATTCGTCCTCCCGTTCCGACAAGGACGAAGAACAAGGGAAAAATATATGGAGAGAGAGAGTAGGTGCGATTAGACCTTACAACGAAGAAGAATGGCCACAACAATGAGGTGGATAGGGTTTCGCGATTCATAATCTGGCGGCAAGTTTTCGATGGACATGCCCGGACGACGGTCGAATTATACTTTGTTGAGTCAGATTCCGGACGATAAGTTTCCCGCTGCCGGAGCTGGAGTGACGGCATACGAGTCTCACTCAGGGGAGAAGAACAACGGGAAGGGTGACAAGGGATTTGATTGGGACTTCACTGATCATCGAATGATTCAGGCGCAGAATCGGATCGGGACGCCGGGATTCCCGTCGTCGATTGGATCGCTGAGACAATCCAGCGGCAGTAGCTTCGGCGAGACATCAATCTCTGGTGATTATTACATGCCGTCGCTCTCGAATCCAGATGCATCTTATAGGCAGTTAAATGGTGGCAGCGGCGAGCTGAGGTTAGTAGGAGGCGGCTCTTCGTCCTCAAAGAGCTGGGCGCAGCAGACTGAAGAGAGCTACCAGTTGCAGCTAGCACTGGCGTTACGGCTGTCTTCTGAAGCAAGGTGCGCTGATGATCCCCATTTTTTGGATCCCGTGCCCTCACGTTTAACTGCTTCAGCAGAGCCCATGTCCCATAGGTTCTGGGTAAGCATTGCGATTATTTTATACTTAAGTTCTATACCACTCAGTATCAGTTTCTGGCCGGATTTTTTTACAGAATGCTTGAATTCTGATGAGGTGAATATGAGGTTGCTATAAGCTTTCTACATGTTTGCATTTTTTTTGTTTTGAAATTGAAACAAGGGCAGCTAATCTCTATCTGAAAATGAAGAATCTCCATTTTTTTTCTGTTAAAATATGGTGTTCATTAGGTAAACGGATGCTTATCATACTCTGACAAAGTTCCTGATGGGTTTTATTCAATTCATGGGATGGATCCTTATGTATGGATTGTCTGCTCGGAACTGCAAGAAAGTGGCCGCATTCCATCAATTGCATCATTAAAAGCTGCTGATCCATCCATTTTACATTGCGTGGAAGTGATTTTGATTGATAAGCATAGTGACTCCAACTTGAAGGATCTGCATAATCGAGTTCATAGCATGTCCAATAGTTGCATCACAACAGAAGAGGTTGTTGATGAGATCGCAAAGCTAGTTTGCAACCACATGGGGTGAGAATTTATATTATACAAAGGAATATGGAGAACTATTTTCCCCCTATCATTTCATAATTAAGTTTTATTGGCTTCATAAGGGGTGCAACATCTAGTGGAGAAGATGATTTGGTTCTTATCTGGAAGGAATGCAGAGATGACCTAAAAGACTGTTTAGGGTCTGTTGTGATACCCATTGGTAGCATGTATGCGGGTCTTTGTAGGCACCGAGCTTTGCTTTTTAAAGTATGTTTTGGTTAGTTGTTCTCCAACAATTATGTTTACATATGTACTTGCTGACTGAATCCTTAAAAAAGTAAACCAGATCCACACCCTAGCTCTCTTTAAGCCAAGAATGATATTCTTTAAATGTTCATACTTTCACATGTATGCCAAATATGTTTGCTACAGGTACTAGCTGATGCTATTGATTTACCTTGTCGAATTGCCAAAGGATGTAAATATTGTGATAGAGATGATGCCTCCACATGCCTTGTTCGTTTTGGACCTGACAGGTAAATATTTGAAGTGTGTATGATGTCATGCATTACTCCAAGCCCATCACTGTATTGACCATTCTTAAGCCTTTAAAGCTTTCTCAGTTTTGAACATCATTTAATGTATACTCCGGTACAATGTTTTTAGTTATGTATCTTCTACTTTATCGCTAATACATTTAGGACATCAGTAAGATACTTTATTATTGCAGGGAGTACCTGGTTGATTTAACTGGAAGGCCAGGGTGCTTATGTGAGCCTGATTCCTCACTCAATGGTCCATCTTCCATTTTGATTTCTTCACCATTGTGCTTTCCCAGATTCAGACAGGTTGAAAATTCAACTGTTTTTAGTTCATTGGCCAAACAGTATTTCTCAGACAGTGAATCACTTCATCTTGTGTTTGATGATTCCACCACAGGTGATAATTTCACCATATTTAGCTATTGCTCTCAATATATCAGCACTTCTATATGTTGTTGTGCTTTACTCGTAATTCATTGTTAATATGTTCTTCCTTTTTCATGTTCTTTTTTGTTGGCCCAGTCCTTTTCCATTTTGATTGAAAGGACACATTTTCATATACGTAGTGAAATATACTCCCTCTGCCCCAGAAAGACTTCCTTGTTGCGACTTATGAACTTATGATGCATGTCAGAAGTCATTATTTGAAAAAGGGCATGAAATGAAAAAAAATAAAATTTACTCTGGGGTATTATATATTAAAAATTGTAGCAGAACACAAGTTTTTACAAAATAAAAGGTGACAAGACTATTATTCTATCAAATGAGTTATAAAAATAGACAAAGAAAGAGTTCAAAGCTTGACCATGCTAATGAAAATTCTTTTTGGGACGAAGGGAGTACTGCAATTATAATTACAGTCCCTTCAAACAAGAGGCTTAAGAAAAAGAAAACATTCAATCTAAACTATCCTCATCAACAAGGGAACTAGTGAACAACAACAAATCCTGATACACAAACTGATGTGCTTGAATAAATAAGGGTTCATTATCTATTTTTTGTGATTTTTATTTTGGATTCTACTTGCTTACTTGTTGGAAGACTTATACAGTCTCACCCAAAGGCTCATATAGACGACAACATGATTTTAGAAGTTTTAAGTTACACATCATACGCGTACTGCAGAGTATGTAATGCTGTCTATATGGTCTATGCTATTTACTAAATGCCAATTCTTTGCATGTGTTATACATTTGCCTTTACACAGCCCTCTCGTTCTCTCCATGTGCTATTAGAGCTTTTACATCATGATTGGGACCATGTAGTTTGTCTTTTGGAGCCATATAATGATGTCTAATGTATTTTAGTAGTTTTTATTCCCGCATTCTATCTGTGTGCAATTACAGCTTTTACATCTAGATTGGACCATGCACTTTTTCTTTTGAATCCCTGTAATGATGTCTAATCTTTTTACTGGTCTTTTAACACACAGTGAACCTTCTGCTCAAATTATCATCCTTGTAGCTTTCTTTGCAACCAAAAAATAAATTTAGAAGATAATGAAAACCTTTCTCTTTATTGAAGATACTCAAGATAGTGTGGTGGAGGATAGAGGAAATAACAGCCAATGATGTGTGTAAATTTTGATGAATGTGTATAGTTCTGAGGCACAAACTTCATATATATATATATATATATATATATATCAAATAATATGTAATCTAATCTCTGTCATGTTTCACTACTATTATTTTTAAAATTCAAGGCTATTCATCTCAGGAACTGTCATTGATGGAGATGCGAGTGCTCCCATCTGCACTAAACAAACAGACACAGATTACATTGACAGAACAAGCTGTATGCCCAGTTCAAGCAATCAAGATGATATCTCAAGATTACCTTTGCCTCCTGCAAATGCTAGGAGAAGAGTCCGTGATAAAGAATCACAATATGCTGAAATATATAATCCTTCAAATTTATTTAGCCCACCGAACATTGGAATAGACAAACATCCTCCTCCTAAAGTCCAATCTGATCCTAGGCTTGATAGTCATCTAGTTTCACGTAAACCGAGTAAGGATCTTGCACTTGATGTAGAAGATCTGGATATTCCATGGAGTGATCTTGTTCTGAAAGAGAAAATTGGGGCAGGTAATCCCTTTTTTCTGCTAACGTCCATGAAACCGAGTGGTTGCTTATTTATGTTGTTGGATTGTTGATGCAATTGCAGAGTTTTTTATCCCCAAGAGTAGCTAACAATATGCCTTGCTCTTTCTCAGGTTCTTTTGGTACGGTTCTCCGTGCGGATTGGAATGGCTCTGTAAGACTCTTTCTTCTATTGTCATCATTTGGGACATTTATTTGAATATATCACCTTTGGCTTATCCTGTGCTTTGAAGATCACATTTACATTGGGAAGAGTCTGTCTATGTGTGTCTACAATTTCTCTTCTGAAAGTGCTTTATACTGCCTTTTTCATCATCACATTAATTTTGCAAAAAGTTAGTTAACACTATTAATTCACATTTAAATGCTTAGGGACAAAGCTCTACACCAGATGACCTTCCCGTTGATACCTCTTCAGATGAACTATATGACATTCCAAAAAATTCCATCATAGCCCCCCCCCCACACACACACTTGCATTGGAAATATGCTTTATGCAATGTCATGTCTCATTATAATATTCAATTATTCATATTTTAAAAGCAGCATTTACAACATAAAAATGCTTCTTGAATTTGATATTAATTTCAGATTATTTATTGTTCAGGAGGTTGCTGTGAAGATTCTAATGGAACAAGATTTTCATCCAGAGCGATTACAAGACTTTTTACAAGAGGTGAAGTAAATGCTTGTCACCAGGAGTCCCTGTGTGGGGTTTGGGAGGTGGTGGTGGTGGGGGGGGGGAGTATGGAAATTCACCCAGGTCTAAAAACATTAAAGCTCTACTAGTCTACTTTTTGTTTCATTAGCTAAATCTAATTATGTTTGAAACTAGATCTTTTGAAATATGGATGTGTTTACTGTGTTTTGATCCCAAAACATGTATAAATTTTTTTCTTTTAAAATTTATAGAGTCCTAAAAAAGAATGAAAAAACAAAAAATTGCCTTTGTTTAGGACCACCTTAAATTTTTTGCCTTGGGCCTTAAGCAATGAAGGAACTGGCCTGGTTATCACTTGTCGCACACCTTAATTTCTCATTCGTATCGATTTATATTTGAGTGTCTCACATCATATTATGTTCATCTCTTTATTTTGTTGTTTCAGGTTGCAATCATGAAGCGTTTACGGCATCCAAATATTGTTCTCTTCATGGGCGCCGTTACACAACCTCCGAATTTGTCAATAGTTACAGAATATTTATCGAGGTTTCAACTTGGGACTTCCATCAAGGGCCAAAAGTGCTCCCTCTTATCAGTAGGCACCTTATTATGGCTGACTAATTTTGTGCTTTTTTTGTGTAACATTTCAGAGGTAGTTTGTATAGACTTCTCCATAAACATGGCGAGGTGTTGGATGAGAGACGTCGATTGTGCATGGCTTACGATGTGGTATGTATGACTATATATGTTTATGTATCTATCGCCAAGTGACTAGATATTTCTGTGATGGGCTGAAAGCTTGGTTTGTTCTTCTACAGGCAAAGGGGATGAATTATCTTCACAAACACAATCCTCCCATTGTTCATAGAGATTTAAAATCGCCAAATCTTTTAGTTGACACGAAGTACACAGTGAAGGTGAGATGAGATCATGGATGTCTAATTATGTCTTTAACTCTTATGATGTCTGGAAAAGATTTGCTCCGTTCCAAAAAAGAGTCAATGTTTGGCCAAAGTACAAATTTTTTGTTTTGGCAAGGTACAATTCAAAGTCATGGGATCTTATATTTTTAAAATTTATTTTTTTGGTTTAACGGAATTTATAGATCATATTGTTGTGAAAGAAATAATACTCCGTGTACTCCTCGTCTCCAAACCAACTTTACACTTCCCCACTTTCTCTTTTAGACAATAAATATGTGGATAACTTTATTTCTCTATCTTCCAAATAAATTTCAACCACACACTTTTCACCTAAAACTTTTTCTTTTTCATCAGCCCCAAAAATGTCAAGTTGATTTAGAGATGGATGGTGTATATCATATTGAAACAGTTTCTAATTCCTATATGGCAAACTACATGAAAAATCAGCCCCATTTAAAAAAAGCAGCAAAAGAATTCCTTTTGTTTTGGGTGGAAGGAGTGTCATGCAATTGGTTGAGTTTTATTACCCGGACACCATCAGTTGCTCAAACTTGAAACCAGAAAGCATAAATGGAAATGGCTGCACTTTAAAGAACAAATGCTCTTATTATTGATAAGTGATGAGCATAACTTAAAATTTAAAAGCTAGTTATGTGTGATATACAGATGACCTAATTCATTTTTCAACTTTATACAATGTATGCTTTTAAGGTTTTTGTCTGGAACCTGGAAAATGGCAGGGAAAGAAATTAGGGAGGAAATAGCGAGTAAAAGTTGAAGACAATACAATTTGTTGAAAACAAAACATATAGTTGTATTCAAACTGAATAATTCTATGTGAATATTTGCTCAAACTCATTTTATTTGTTTACTACTATTATATGAAGACAAAGAAATCTGAATGTATTGCAGAGTATTTTTTTTAAATAAATTACTCCGTATATTCTAGTTTCTTTTGTATTTTCCAAGGTAATCCACTTGTAATTTCAACATTTTTTTCTTTTCCATTTTTTGAAAACTCCTTTCCATAATATTTTAGGAATCCCAACATACTCTAAATGTGCCTTAAGGGTTTCATTTATTAGTATCATTGTAGAATTTGACACTTTACACCATCCTGTTCTTGTCAGGTGTGTGATTTTGGTCTTTCTCGTTTAAAAGCAAACACATTTCTTTCTTCAAAGTCGGCTGGGGGAACAGTAAGTTCTTTATACTGATATTGTGATCTATGCTATATCTCATACTCCATATTGGGTGCGTGCCACTCGTTCATAATAGGATCGGTTGTAATGTCATCTCATTTCTTTTGACAGCCGGAGTGGATGGCACCTGAGGTTCTTCGTTATGAGCCATCCAATGAGAAATCAGATGTCTACAGCTTTGGTGTGATACTTTGGGAGCTGGCGACGCTACAACAACCATGGAGTAATTTGAATCCTGCCCAGGTTTATATATTTGATAATAGCAACATAATTGTTACTATGAGTGCACATATTTCAATTCTGGTTTGACCCAACCAAAACTGAACTAATGCTCTTGAGTTTTAGTTTGGTGATGTTTTCCCGAAGCCGTATTAGTTTGAACCAAATCAAAACCGACTAAAACTAAATTGAACAAAAAACACACTAAACCCCCAATAATAACCGAGCCAAACCAAACTATGTTTTGTTTTAATATACCAAATCAAAAACCTGAAATGTCAACCTCTGATTGCCCACTACTGGATGGAAGGGACGTTATTCTTGTTTTGAGTTTGGGATTTGCTCAATGTATACATACATACAATTATATAGGTCGTAGCAGCTGTTGGCTTTCAACACAAGAGGCTCGAAATACCTCATAATCTGAATGCTCAAGTGGCTAAAATTATCGAGGCATGCTGGGCAAAGTAAGTTGATTTTCCCTCTATCAAACACCAATTTAATTCTTCTTCTTTTTTTTATAAGATCACTGTTCTATATTGCAGTGAGCCTTGGAAACGCCCTTCATTTGCAACTATAATGGATATGCTGAGGCCACTGATTAAACCCGCTACTACACCTCAGCCTGGTCCTACAGACTCACAACTGCTTACAAGAATGCCTGAAAATTTTTGAACTTGTATTACTGCACATAGTTGAAATTCATTAGAGTTCTCAATGGGTTTGAGGAAGACTCCTCTTGTTGTGTCAGGTATGTTGCTTAAGGGATGTTTGGATCTCTTCTCCAAATTGGTTCTACTATTCCAATGAGTACCTATGCCCCATTTGGGATTGCATTTGCGGTGGGAAAAGCTCGGTCTTAACACATTCCCAAACAAAGTACATTTTTCGCCAAAAAAATGATCTGAAATGCTAAAACTACCATAATGCAAAAGTCAGTCCAGTAGGAGTAGGACATTGCATTTCGAGAATTTCATCTGAGGTAAAAAGAATTATTCTAGATGCTTTTAACTTAACATAGTACTTTTCAACCTTAATCTCTAACTCTTAAAAGCACTTTCCCGCCGCAATTACCAAAATAATTTTCAAAGGTGCTTTTTCAATAATGTTTTTTTGTTCAAATATCATTCCCAAATTAGGCCTTGGAAGTGGAATCATTTTTATGGGTGTTTGGATACTCTTGAACGCCGAATCACTTACACTATGTTTGGTTCAAGGAATTTGGTAGGAAAAGAAAAGAAAATGATTTTCCCTCATTTTCCTCACCAAAATGGGAGGATTTTGGTTTTTCTTCCTCTTAGTACATTTTGCCTTTTTCTCATTTCTTTTCCTCTTTGAGCAAACAAGAAAAATGTTTTCCTTCTCATTTTCTTTTCCTTTCCTCTCAAATTCCTCGAACCAAACATAGTGTTAAGGTTTTGATTCGGAAAAGAGCTAAGTTTTGCACTTCAATTCTCAAAGTATCGTTTTTTATGCATATAACATCTAAACCCTAAATATAAAATACCCCTTGAACTTCATAATCAGACAATCAGTTCCCCATTTCAAATGATTAGTTTCACATACGTGTGTTTTGCAGGGTTGTTTGCTCGTGTAAATAATAGTTTGGAGTTGAGTAATGGCCTGTTGAGAAAGCTTACATAGTATTAAGGTTCAAGCTGCTGCAGCCACATCCCTTGTACACTATGTAATCTGGAAGTTATTTTTTTTCAATGACAGCAATGTAGTGTTGGGAATGGTTTTTGTTACCCATTTGTATCCATATGATACGATGTGCATCTCCTAGGTTTCTATGTCCCGATACATCGTCTTTTAAAATGTTTAGTTGAAACAACCTAGTTAAACAAGATCAAACCCGAGTACTTTGATAGAGTGCAATGGTTCTCATAGTTAGGATTATGGTTCTGGTTTTAGGAGACATTGTTCTGATTCTAGTTCTAGTTCAAAATCAATTGGCAATGTGGGGGTATAATTCACATTCTTATATACTCTTTGCTATTACCCCTAGTTTGTTTTTTAGTCTTGTGCATTGAATGTGAAATTTCATGTCCTCAATAGGTTTACATACTCAATAGCTACCAATGCTACGTCTTCCGTTTGGAAATGTTCTTCTCGCTTTCATTTTCGTTATGTAGAAACTTTGAAATAAATTTTGTTTAAAATAATTTCAGTAAAACATCATAATGTGAACGGCAACCATTATTTTGTCGGATGGAGAGATTCATCTTGTTTTAATGAGGGCATGTTTGACTCCTGCAGCAGCCCCAACCAGAACAGGCAAAACCATGTGCTGGCAATTGGCAATTTGCATTTGGCAATGGCAATTTTGCATATATATATATATGATTGGCCACCTCCCAACGTAACTCTTTAACTCTTATTCAATGCAGACAATCCCCATTGTTTATTGTTAGAACCTATACATACAATAAGTCAACTGGCACCATGTTCAATTTCTACAATCCATTAACTCAAATATACCATTATTACTCATTTGATAAAATAATATTGTTATGTCAAGTTTTATTTTGTAGAATTTTTGATGTAATTTTTAAATATATACATTTTATTTTTTAATTCTATCCCAATTTACATAAAAACCAATTTGAAAACTTCAGTCAAACATTATAAACAACAAAAAAACAACTTAGAATGGGACGAAGGGAGTAGTTTATATTAGTTTTATAGGTTTTGAAACAAAGAAATTTAAATGTTTTTGTTTTCCCTTTCAAAATTTTGGGACTTAAAAATGTCAATTCATTTATGAAAATCAGAAGTGGGTGCAGGATGCTAATGGGTAGTACTCCGTACTTAAATACTCTTTATCTTAGGGTCTTTGTGTAATTTTTCTTTTCGAGTCAAATTAGTTGAATTACAACCATCGGTTACATTAATGTCCTGTTCTTTTGAGTTGAAATTTCAGAGTTGATGGGAAGAAACTGAAAGGAGTTGGAAAAAATTGAAAGAAATTAGAAAATGTTAAAAGAATTTAAGCGTTAAAAATTCATTCAATTAAATGATCAACGAAATAATTTCGTAAGAAAATTCTATTTTTGGATAAAAAGAATTTAACATTGTCTGTGTTTGGTAAGTTATAAATTTGGATATGTAATATTATTGTATATTTATCAAATGTAAGTGCATTTTTTAAGTCGTTAGAAGAATCTGGAAAGAACCGGAAGAAATTAGAAAAAAAAATAAGAGTAAGAAAAGGCTGGAAATTAATTTTTATAACTTAAAAGAACAGGGCCTAAATCTGTGTTACATATTCATAGAATTTTTCTAACTTTAAAGAACATTGCATCATATCTTATTCTAATAGTGCACGATAATTCACAGCAAACTTTTTTACTGTGTAACACACAAGTACATATCTAGTGCGTGGAAATAATGTCATAAACAACTACGTTACGAGTACATTTTATTACGTACAAACATACATCGTCTCCTAAACAGGCAAACAAATATAAAATTGAATGATAATGTATGCATCTAAGGCTGTTTGGACTTGCGTTGTTGGGTGTAGATGTAGTCCAAGTGAGCTTCTACAACCATTCTTCTCTCCAAACAACCTTCTTCCTTTTCCTCACATCTTTCTTCTAATCCCATCAGCTACATATATGCAACATACACAAATATCCATATAATTAAATTATACAAAAAAAAAAAACTTAAAACCCCCCACATATATTTGACACTTTAACATATTTGACACTTTAATGTCATTCTTGGTTAATGTTTTTAAATTCTAACTATTACAAAAAAATATATTAAATTGTGATATAAATTTAACATATGAAGTATTAACTTTATTTTGAAACATATTTTTGAAATAATATATTCCGTATTTTTATAATATATATTTATCTATAAATAAAGATATTGATGGTCAAAGTGAAAACTCAAATGATCAAAATCAAAGTGAAGGAATGAAGAAATATAATTCTTACAGTGGCAATGTCTTGTTGTGGGGTGAAGGGAGGAGTTGCATCCAATAATATCTCATATTTCTCCTTCTTCTGGTCACCTGTGTGTTAAGTGTGTGAGTTTTAGTAATAACACATACTTCCTTTGTCCTAAAAAGAAATTATTTAAGTTGTAGTTAGAAATGGTCAGAAGGAGAGATATTTTCTAAGCCATTGATTCTTTACTTCAATTTTTTTTAGAACAAATAAAAAAGAAAAGTGAGAAATTTTTGTGCGGTAGAGAAAGTATAAAAAATTGTTTAATTTGTATCATAATTTCAAGTTGTATTCTTTTTCATTTTTGACATTAATAATTTTATTGCAATGCAGTACAATTAAAATGACACTCTTTGTTAAAAGAAAAAGAAAAGTTTATTTAAAGTGGCACTCTTTGTTAAATTTTGATAAACAAATACGGACTATTGAATAAGTCATAGAATGATATAAAGTGGATATTTCTTTGTGTTTATAAGCTGATTAAAGTTGCTTATAAACAATTTTAACTTAAAACTCATATGATGACATGATTCTGTGTGCTTATATGCTGATTTATAAGCTGTTTATAAGTCATAATATAAAAAATAAGTAGGTCTTAGCTACTTATTTTTAAATCAATTTTTTTCGTTTCTCCGTTTTGACCAGATTATTTACAAAATTATCCCCTGCCATTTATGAATATTTACAAATGATTTATATATCATTTAAGTCATTTTACTTCCACGAAAGAATATTTGACTTGTAATCAGCTTATAAGTTAAAAACTACTTATCAGCAATAAGTCAATAAATACCAGCACAAAGAAACACCCCCAAAATGCAATAAAAGCAGCATGATAGGTTGACTCTTGAAAAATAAAACAACAAAAATAAAACAACATACATACTTAAGCTATAAATATAAGAAGCAGATTGCTAAATACGTTAAACTGCTTTTTGACAAACCCGTTATTTGCCTAAATGCATAATATAATCACTATTGACTTCACAAATCACAACAACTAATTAAGAGTCCTCATATATAGTTAATCATTTTTAGAAAAGGGTGATTTGGTACATGCATACCTTGAGTTGGGAAAATAATATCTTGAGTACCATATGTTGAAATGGGTAGTATAGAACAGGTAAACAGCACTGAGAAAATGAATAAGAGAACCTCTTTTCTCATTTCTTCTATCCTCTTTTTTTACTTTTTCCTTTTTTTTTTTTTACTTTTTACTTTGTTTTTTGAGAATGGATGAGAGGGAAGGGGAGATATATGAAGGTTTTAGTGGGTGGGTAGGGGAGCAGTTGAAGTTCTATAAATAGCCCCAATTGGTATGCCAAACAACAAGTCCCTACCTCCCTTAAGTTCCATTGACATATATATAGCTAGACATTAATAAATTACTTCCTCCCTTTTAAAAAAGACTTTCTAGTTTGATCAAGTGTAAAAATAACGAAGTTTAAATTTTAGGTGACTTCAAATTTTACTCTTGACGTGATGGGTAAAAATAAGATGTGATAGATGAGTTATTAGAGAAAAATTATGATATGATAGGTAAGGTATGGAAAAATAAAGGTAAAAATGGTTTTTTAATAGAAAGTGGAAGTATTTTATTGAAAGTGGAAAAATTAAAAGACGAAGTATTTTTGAAAACGGAGGGAGTGAAAACTTATGTGATTAACATTTATTTAAAAAGGATACTATCTTTGTCCCAAAATAAATTTTGATATTACAAAATATGGTGTTTAACTAAACTCATTTTCATTTTAATCTATTTTAAAATTATTGTAGAGAAACAAAACAACTTTATAGTTTTATAATGGAAGATAAATCTCCTACTCACTCGATCGAAGGCCCAGGGCTAGGGCAAGTCCATGAGAGTCTCTCTCGTGGTCATTTGGAGTCATTTCCGTCGTGCTTCTTGTCGATCGTAGAGACACTATGCTCATAAATCTTGTATCTACTCACAAACAATTGTTCATAAATTTTATTTAAACAAATAACAATATAAAATACGAAGATTTTGTTTATGATCATAAATAAACTCTTCATATTTTATATTGTTATTGGTTTAAATAAAATCTAGAATACCCAGCAAATACCTTTACTAAACTCCATAGGCATCAATCAAAACATTCAAAACCAAAAGGTTTTGCATTATTGTAGATTTGTAGCTAGATCTAGCTAGCTAGTACTAGAGAGTCAACGAACCACTAGCTACTTAATGGGATCTTACTTTATGTAGCTGCTTGGATGGCCCCGTCATGTTTGACTTTCCTTTGGAGTAATGGCATCTGACTAGCCATTGTCCCAATTTCCCACATTAAAAAGGCCTCCTGACAATGATAAACTTATCTTGTTTTTTTTGTACTTATCCCTTTGATAATACCCTCTATAAAATAAATTAAAGTAATGTTTGGGATTATAATATACTTGAAATTTTAAATTTCTTGTTATAGTATATTAAAATCTTTCTTGAGCGTGAATCACAAACATGAGTTTTGAGTTATGTTGATTTCTTGACATGATATCACAGCTTTGTTGACCGAGAGGTGACCAGTCCGGAACTCACCGTCATCCAATTTTAAAAATTTAAGGTTTCACATGCAAGTTTGAATTTTTGATTGAGTTGGTTTTTTGACATAACTGATAGAAATAAATTTCACCAAAAATTCAATCCGGAAAGCTATATTGAATTATTGAATTTCGGACTTTAACAACATGACCATAGATCTACTGAAAAAACACAATTGAACAACAATGATAAGTCACAATACAATTTCTAACAATATGAACCATAAGGGGTTTATAAGGGAGGTGATAACTATGGTTAGTTCAATCATTCTCTGGGCTTCCTCCGCCATTGGTGCCCGGCCAGGCACTCCCACATAATCAGCAATCCGGCGCGTTCAATCTTGGAAAAAGTGGAATTCATTTCCTTATGCACAGTCGGGCCAGGCCAGGAGCTTCATTAGTTCTTCCTCACGGACTGCCGTTCGGGTGCTGTCCCTTCCCTTTGTTTGGGTCCTCCAGCCTTTTTTGGATATTTGGTCGGGCTTGAACCACTCGGACCCAATAATCTTTAACTAATATTTAAAATTTCATGATCTAAAATTTAGACGTTATTTATGTCGACAAAGACGGAAACAAAAATGAGTTTATATGTACCAAACTGTTGTTGTATAATGGAATACTCCATATAATTCTTTTATTATAAGTGGTAAATTGAAAGAAAATTAGGTTTAAGTTTCTACTCCTTAAATGGCAAAGGGAAAATGTGGATTTGTAAATGAGTTTGTTTTGACTTAAAAGAAAATGTGATCCAAATCCATATTTTTTAAATTACATATAAGTAGTTTGCACTAAAATACATACTCTAAATTTAGATTCCCAAATGTACCATAAACTATTTCTAAGCTGTATAATAATGTTATAGAATAAGGTTATGCTAGGAGTACACCAAAATAAAGTATTGTAAATATAGACACTAAGTTTTTGTGATCACATAAACTTATACTAAGTATCAATGTTTATTTAGTGTACAAACGAGGGACCTCATTTTGATGAACTAATTATCCAAAATATTGATGCCATTCAAACTATAGATTCATTGTGTGGATAAACACAATAGATTCTCTTAATTTCTGTGTTTATTTGGACATATAGGGAATAAAATAGGAGAAGAAGCAAGAAGATAAGTAGTAGGCGCTGTTATTATATATTGGGTCGTCCTACATACAAACATATATGGATCGACCACTATTCGACTCGCTAGCATGACTCACCGATTCTTCCTCTCTCTCCTGTTTCTGCTTTGTTCAGCTCCGCCGCCGCGGTGTCGCGCCGCCTCCGCCGCAGCGCAGGAGCTCCTGCTCGGTTTCAAAGCCGCTCCGGATCCTTCTGTTTTGTCTTTCCAGTCGTTCCTCGGCGATTCCAACTCCAACTACTCACTGGGTTTCCTCCGAGTCAGCGGAACTCACCTCGCCCTCTCCGTCGTGCACGTCCCGTCCTCGGAATCTGTCTGGACGGCGGAACTGACCCGGCCGGCGAAATGGTCCGACGAGACCGAGCTCTTCTTCAACGGCAGCCTGGTGCTTTCGGATCGAAGTTCAGGGGTAGTTTGGTCAACTTGCACTGACGGACACCGCGTTTGGCTCTCCAACACCTCAAATCTCCAAATTCAACGGCTTGTCGGCGGTGGTCTAGCCGTTGACACGGTTTTGTGGCAGAGTTTTGACTTTCCCGCAAATACCCTCGTCGAGAATCAGAATTTCACCAGTGCCATGGCACTCATCTCGTCCAACGGGCTTTATTCCATGCAATTGGGCTTCGATTTTATTGGGCTCTACAAGGTGCTCCATAACAGGCCGGGTTCGGGTCTATTATACTGGACGCATAGAGCGCTACAAGCCAAGGCGAAGATACTAGAAGGCCATGGACCCATTTACGCGACGCTGACGTCAAATGGGTATTTGGGTATGTACCAAAACAGGTCGGTTCCAGTTGACGTGGACCCATTCAGCAGTTACCAAATACCCGTACCCGGTGCCCGCCGCCTCCGGATAGAGGACGACGGGAACCTAAACGGGTACTTCTGGACCGGGTCAAGTTGGGTCCCGGATTACATAGCAATACCCGACCCGTGCGAGCTGCCAAACGCCTGCGGGTCGTTCGGGTTATGCCACCCGGGGGGCAAAGGCTGCTCCTGCCTGGACAACTCGACGACACACGCGCCCTCCGGCACCTGCATTTCGCCGGAGAATCAATATTCCGGCGAACGCTGTCGGGAATTCAAGAAAAATCACAGGGTGGTCCGGCGGAACGGGGTGGATCTGCCGTTCAAGGAGCTGCGAAACGGGTACCGGAAAACGGAGTCTTGGGATGAATGCGAGAGCGCGTGTGAAGCGAACTGCGCGTGCAGGGGTGCGGTGTACAGTAACGCATCTGGACTCTGCTACACGCTAGATTACCCCGTCATGACGCTCGTGAGCGTTGCGGATGAGACGAAGATGGGCTACTTTAAAGTGAGTGAGGGGGAATTGGGCCGGAAGAGGAAAGTGATGGCTGAAGAATGGGCCGGGTTTGGGATGGTGTGTGGGGCCATTTTTGTAATTTGTGGGGTAGGTGGGTGGTGGTGTAGGTCAGGTATGGGAAAGAGTGGGTATAGAGATGATGAAGAAGAAGAAGATAGTGTGATTGGGGGTGTTGGGCCTTACAAACATTTGGGTGCAGAAAGCTTTAGGTCCATTGAGCTAAGTCAAACATAGAGGAGGGAAAACGATAAGCCAAATTGGAAATATTTGAAAGATTAAAATTCAATGTTTCAACGGAGCTTGGAATTCACTAATTAGTAATTTGAAGAGGTAGAAATGCTCTAATTTATACATTTGATTAATGATAAATCCACTCAAAAACACATGTTGGATTGAGTATAATATATTGAATCAAGAATATAATACGTCTTCGTGTCTTTGTCTTTTTTTTCATTCTGACTTTTGTGGTCAAGATTTTTAAAATTTATACAAAAAATTATGATAAAATATATAATTATATGATCAAACTTTATTTATTTTGCTAATCTTATTTTTGTTATGCTCATTTGATGAAAAAGTATACTAATGTTATCTCTAAAATATGTAATTCTTATTTTTTTATTTTTTTTACTAATTTTCATATAAAATTATTTCAAAATAACTTCAAACAAACAACGTAAAATACAACAGAAAAATAATGTTTGGACGAAAAGCGTATTAAATTGTGATATAAATATGTATAGATAAACTGTGATTAAAATATTTATGAAATATCATATTTTTATAATATATGCTAATATTCTCCCGTTCAACAATAAAGTTCCTGATCATTCAGCAAAGTTTATTTTTAATATACTATAGTCATGTTACCTCTAGTTTTGTATATCTTTTCATGTAATTTTAAAATTCGGAGTGTGTAATTTTTATTTTTTATTTCATACCATTTTTCATAAAAAATGATTTAAAAATAATTTCAGTCAAACATCGTAATGCGCAACGAGAACTTTGTTTATAGATAGAATGAGTATATAATAAAGATATTAATGGACAAAGTGTTATACTGATGACGTTGGCCAAGCTTCCAAGTTTTACGTTCCATCCGTCATATTTTAAAGTGTCTGTTTCAATATACAATATTTTTAGAAATGAATAGTGAATAATTTTAGAAATTGAATGAAATTTGACTAAGGTAAAATGTTAACTTTTTGCATTTAAAGAAACTTAAGACTAAGAATTGCGCATAATATCCCTACGCCCCGAATGAACGGGTGTCGTCCCCGTCCATACACACGTGTACAATGAATGTCTCACAGCACTGCATCCCTAGCGCAAAACGCACTTTCTTCTTCCTCCTCCCTTTCTCACCAACAGAGCACATTGCAGAAATGCAAGGCAAATTAACGAAGCTCTGTTTCGGGCAATGGGTCAGTACTTTCTAACTCCTCATTATCAAAAGATTGCACTTTTTTTAGTTTTTACATTCTTTGTGCACAGAAACCATTTGATGAACTTTCTTTAACCAATGCAGTAAGTATTTTTCAAAACTAATCACTGGTTTTCCTCATCTGCATGCACAGAAGACGCGGTTCTACTAATCATCTCTTGAGAAGTGTTTCCAGAAACAAATCTTTTTCTTCTGGGGAAAATTTTGTGCACAGTGAGGGTTTAATTCTGAATCCCAAATGGGACCCACGAATCTGGGCGATGAAATCGATGAATCCTTGAAGAATTTGGTCGGTAAAATCAAAGGGTTGAGCCCAGATCTGATCCAGACTGAGACATTTGTTCCGATTCCTGGATCGGATGAATCTTCTACCTTCATTTTAGGGCCGTGTTTCAGGTCCAATTTCCCTTCAGAGCTTTCCCCATTTTACCCTCTTGCCCGAGGGGAGAAGCTGTTGCAGAGATCAATGGAGTCCGAGAGGTTCAGTGCAGGCAAGGCATGGCCGACTGTGAGCAGGACGTGGAGTGATTGGGTGGAGAGGATGGAACAATCAAAAGGCCCAGTCTGGAAATCTGCTGGGATTTATGACGCCATCCATCTCTCCAAAATCGACGTCCCCGCCGACAAGAATCTCATTCTTGCCGCACTGTCCTTCTGGTCAATCTCCACCAATTCCTTCCACTTCCGGTTCGGAATGATGGGGCCCACCCTGCTCGACGTGGCTGCATTGACCGGCCTCAGGCCCCACGGCGAGGACGTGGGCCCCGTTCTCAACGGGCTCGACAGCACCAGAGCCTACGACTCCTTGAACTACTGCAAGTTCATGGACGGGTCGATGGGCGCTGCCGCCGTGACCGAGGAGGAACACATGTCTTTCCTCATCACATGGCTCTCCAAGTATCTGTTGTGTTGTTGTCACTTGTCCCCAAACATGAATGGTGAAGTTACCAAATTGGCCCTGGCCCTCTCGGGCGGGAGGAAGCTCGCCCTGGCTCCTCTCGTCTTGTCGAGTCTCTACAGCGTCTGTAGAGACATTGTCGCGAACAAGTTTGACGGGAATGGCGGTCCGTTGTGGGTATTACAATTTTGGATTCAGTCGTACTTTCCCGAATACCGCCCGTTGGTTGCGGGCATTGTGAACTCCCGGACGTACGGGCACCCGTTGGCGAAAAGCGTTTTGAGGCCTCAAACCTTCAACCACTACTTCGAGTTCTTCCTCGCGTGCCCTTCTCGAACCCCGGCCCAGTTCGCCCCGTTCTCTCGCGGGACTTGTGGGCCCGAGTGGTTCAAGAAGTCGGTGGACCCCGCGTTGCGCTCGCTCCCGTGGAGCGAGCTGAACGAAATATGGGCGAACTACCTTTTGCCGCGGGACCTACATTGCACGCTGCTCGGGCGGGCTCGTTCGGAGCGGTACTCTCCAAACCAGTTCGCCCGGCAGTTCGGACTCACGCAGGGGGTCCCACTCCCGGCATATCAAACCGACGAATCAACGAAGAGGAAGTTCAGTCTGGCTTCGTTCGACGTGAATCCCGGGTCCACGTTCTTCTTTGATTTCTGGTGGTCGGCGTATATACGGAGGAGTAATTTTAAGAGTTCGAAGACAGTTAACGAGACACGCCCGCCAGCTATAGTTAATCTCAGTTCATATGCAATGAGAGCAAGGTATGAACAACACTCTGCTGGTGAGTGTGCCACCAACAAGAAACTGAAACGTGAAGGTATATATATTATATGGTTTAACATTAAATTTATTTTTTGTTTCAAAAATGTTATCTGTTGTTTTATCTTAACACTAATCTGTTTGGCTATATTTTCAGGGAATTCGGCTCCTTCACAACAAAAACCTATGCCCCCAACCAAAAAGGGTAAACCACAAACTTTCAAGGTATATATTGTCTAGCTTCCTCCTCTATCTCATTGTTTTTGCAGTGAAAAATTCTTAAACCAAACTAATTTTATTCCTAAACTTTCAGAAAGTTTCAAATCTTTATGCACGAAAAGAACCGAACCTCGGGACAAACACGGTCAAATCTAGTCCTCCCGAGCCTACTTCTCAAAACGAAACAGCGAAAGGCGTGCCGGGCTTTGATGATCATTCGCCCTTTTCTTTCGAAGACGACGTAAACTCACCTTCTTTGATCTCTTATTGTGTTTTCCCCTTGTTCACATCAAAATTTGTTAAATAGTATAAAGTCTTTCATGCACTTACAAGTACTAGTTTGACCTCTTGGTTGAACTGGTTCTTTTGACATTTACTCAGCAAGTTGAACCCGCAATGCCTAGCAGCGAGCCAGAAGAACGCATAAACCTAGAAAACGTCGATGACTTCATTGCGCGCTTGGAAGCCAAAATAAGAACGTTCCGATCACCCACGCACATCGCGTGCAATTCTCCGCCAAAACCACCGCCAACCACCGCCGCGCCTCCGCCGTCAACCGCCGCACTTGAAGACATATCAAGACACCTTTCGACCCCTCTCCGAGACGTTGCCCTCGTGCCTGAAAACTACTCCGCCCTAAAGGCTGCGCTCTCCACATGCGCATCCGCGGGCCCCACTTCCGACGGCGACACCCTAAAGGAAATCAACGCCACCTTCCCGGAAATCTGCGCCACTTTTCGCCGGGGAAAGAGGGACCAAGACGAGTTTGCCGCGAAAGCCGCGAGGAGAGTGCTTCTGATTGAGGAGCTGAAGAGGGGACAGGAGCTTTACACCAAACTGAAGGACCGGCAGGACAGGCTGGTCTCCGCCATGGAATCCATTGAGAACCAGGTGAAGGAGCTGAAGAGGAACTGGAAGGAGGCGGAGATGAAGTGTAAGGCGGTTCAGGCGGAGAAACTGAGCTTGGGGAAAGAGTGCTTCTCCAAGTCTTCGGCTTTGGATGAAGTGGAAACCGAGCTGCGGGCCATGGAGAAGAAGAAAGAGGCGGCGGATTCCGACGTTGCGCGATCCGAAGCTCGTTGGGCTGAGTTTCAGCATAAGCTCAAGAAGTTGCTCAACTTACCTTAGCTTAGCTTAGATATGAATGTATAATATCTATGTGTGTAGTATTGTATTAAAATGGCTTAGAAGGAAGCTCAATTTTGCTGGTTAATGTATAGTGTATAGCTGTTTTTGGCAATTTACTTTGGACTGCACTAAAGTTCAGGTGAATGCATGCATGTAATTTTTTTTGGCTTTTGGCTGTGTACTCTGTATTTGGCATACTATATTTGGAAAGGTGAAGAAATATTTTGAGATATATAGAGAAAAAGTGTGAATTTCATTTGTCTTATGAGTCAAATGGGGTAGTTCATGTTGGTATGCCTCTAGATTAATTCTAATAGGAATACCATAATATCTTGTTACCAAGTAGGACTACTCAAGTTGCCTTATGAGTCACTTCTGTTGTTTATGCACCCTAAGAGTCATAAAAGGGATGCCATGGTGATGAATTCAATGAAAAAAAGGGAAGTTCTAGGAAGAGATATACAATAAATACGTGATATTGTAAAAATTACGAATGTCACTCTTCGAGATTGTAGAACCGATGAAATGTGACAAATTTGGTAGAGTATGATTGTCATTATTTGAGATTGCAAATTATATGTAATAATCTGTCATCATTAAAACAAGTATGTTTCGAAACATCCAAAAAATAATACTCCGTAATATAATTAGTTTTTCCGGATAAAGATTCAACTAAAGTTACAACCATGTTCATACTCGAAATTTTAGATCTTAGGGTTCAATTTTTTATATTCATTCTAAATTACTCAATCAACCCCAAAATTATCGTACTAATTTAATCATTGGGATCACTTCAACTATCAGTTCTAAAAAAATATTTAATTATAATATAAATTTAATACTCCGTATAATTTAATTCATTTCAAGATATGCATTTAATATATCAAGTTTTAATAATATATTTTTTTACAAAATACATTTAATTTTTGAATTGTCCAACTAAATTACTAAAATTAGGATGAGACGAAAAGCCATAATTTGGTTTTCAGTTACACCACCTCTCCCCCTACGTGTCCTACTTCCTCCATCATTCTCCTCCCCGTCCCCATAAACCCCATCACCATTATTTCTCTTTTCTTCTTCTTCTTCTTAATCCTTTCCCCCAAAATTATCAATCAGACAAACATGAGAAATATCGTCACTTGTTACAGTGATCGTGCCGTCAGAGTTACAGACTCCTACTGCTCTCCCAAAAAGTCTGCGGGCTTCCGGTCTCCGGCCACGATCCCGGTGGCGTCACTAAAAGCCGTTAGATGCGTTTACAGAGCCGATTCTTCGTCGTCCGGTGATCGATTCCTGATCAAGATCACTTGGTACTGCAGAATCGGTCGCCTCGAGGATGAAAGAGATCGGACGGGGGTTTTCTCGATCGGAGTTGTCTGCAATTCGCCGGGTTCTTCGCCGGCGGAGCGGACCCCGAGTTCTTCCTGTACCCACCGGATAAATATTGCTAAGGGCTCGAGGCAATTGTCAATCCAAGGCTGCGATTCGAGGATCGGATTCTTCTGGGATCTCACAAACGCTTCCTATGGTGTGGGGCCCGAACCGGTTTCCGGGTTCTGCTTACTCGTCTCGATCGACTCTGAAATTGCCCTGTTCCTCGGAGACCCCGGCCTGGCGGAGCTGGAGGGTGGAGCGTCGGGGTTCTCGGCGGTGTCGCGGTGCGAGTATTTCTCCGGCGGCGCCGATTTCTCGACGAGGGCCCGGTTCAGCGTGGCGGGGGCGACCCACGACGTCCTGATCAGGTGCAGCGGCGGCGCGGCCGCGAGGAACTCGCCGGCGAACCTATCGGTGTGGATCGACCGGAAAGAGGTGGTGGCGGTGCAGAGGCTGGGGTGGAATTTTCGCGGGAACCAGACGATATTCGTGGACGGGGAGTTGGTGGACATGATGTGGGACGCCCATGATTGGATGTTCGACCCGAGATCCGCGGGTCGGGCGGTGTTTTTGTTCAGGACGAGGAGCGGACTGGACAGCAGGCTGTGGATGGACGATGAGGATGATGCGCAGAAGAAGAAGAAGAAGAAGACAGGGGATTTCGGGTCGGGTTGGTCTTTCATGATCTGCGCTGCTATCAGCGGGTCGGTCGCGCCCGACCCATCCGAGGACGGGAATTAGTTAGTTAAGCCGGTTTGGATTAATTAATTAATTTATTATTGCCGTACCGAGTAATTAATTGCAAAAATACTCCCTATTCTTGACCTATTTTAGGGGGTCTCATCGTGGGACCCATAGCTATCCAATGCCTCCTTGTTCAGGTGAACTCAATAAAAAAATTCTGTACATTACTTGGAGTGTGCATAAAATGACGTTTATGGAGGAAAAAAAAAGAAATAAAAAAAAAGTGAGGTCCATTTTTTTATAATGGTACAATTTTTTATGCTATTATTTCTTATTCAATTTCATTTTTGGTGACATGTATATAATTTGAAAACTAAACAATACTGATAGAAGAGAAATGATGTGAATCACTAATTCTTCTTAAATAGTGTTCAAAAAAATACTTTTCTTTAGTAACAATATAAGTTTTTCGGAACAACCAAAAAATGAAAACAATTAAGTTCGGGAAATTTTTTTAGAGACCGAAGAAAGTTTTTTTTGGCAAAAAGAGAGTCAATTTGAAGAAAATGGCCAATTTTCATTATAAGTTTAAAACTAATTATATTTTTACTAAAAAGTATGTCAAATATATGAAATAGTTAACATTTTGCTTGTGGTGGCTATGGCTGAACTGGTATAGCAAAGGGTGTCATAGACTCATAGAAGATAAACTTGAGTTCGATTTTTTGCAACTGATAAGAATCTGACTCTTCAACACATTATAAGAAGGGTTGAGCTCAAAATATGTACGAGGCCCAAGTTAGGGCCCATAACTTTAGAGGATCCAATCCAAATATAGGAAGATAAATGAGCCGGGGTGAGACAATTGGTGGGTTCGGTCCAATTAAAGGATCGGACCAGGGAGAACTAAGATGAGACTTGGGAGGCTGGGCTCAAGCAAGAGTTGAGCTCCAACCCACAAAGATCTGGGTCACCAAGGAAGTACAAGGCCAACCCTACAAAATTAGAGTGTGTCTCCCTTGAGAGATGGGCAAAATATTCCTATGTCATTGTTTGAGATAGAACCGATAGTAAATATTTGTCTGAAGGATAAATTTGTCCTGAAGCAAATAACTTCGAGTGAGAGAGGGATCCTTATGGAAAGGAGAGACTTCCTAGATCTCCCCTCAACCACAAGAGATATTTTAAATGAGATGGTGGTCGGGGGAGTCCCCTATAAAAGAGAGAGAGAGAGATTTGGCCATGAAAGAAAACTTGTAACCGAGAGCGGAGAGATATTTTTTGAGTAATAAAAAGAATATTTCGACGGTCCTAGAGCATATTCTCATCCATAGACGGGCGGTTTAGAGGAAAGGACCTCACTTTAAGTTTTATTACGGTGTGCCATCCATTTCACTGCTCATTACTAATTTATTTTTACTTTTCACTGTTATAAGGCTCGGATACTAATATTTGGACCTTGGATTGCCCAATGGTATGAGAAAAATATTAGAGATCCATCAGCAACTCTATTGAGAAGCAACTATCCTAATCATATGATCTCTGTAAGTAGACTCTAATCTTTGCTAATAAACTTTTAATTTACTATTCTAAATACAATATAAAATTAAACTATTCTGATAATAATTTAATTTACATGCTCTTAGATGACCGTCTGACTCGATTGAGAAGATATTCTGGGGTGAGGCTTAAAATTAAATGAAATACTACTCCCTCTGGTCCTAAAAACATGGGAGTCATTGATTTTTAAGAGATTTAAAGTAAGTGTATTTTGGTATTAAATTTCTAAAAAAGTCCTTTGATGTGATGAGTAAAAGTAGGATCTGATGTGTATAGAGCTGACAAATTGGTCGCTCTGTTCGGATTCGGCCACTTCAATTTCGGGTTATCTCGGGTTCGGGTTGAGAACTGTATATTCATGACCTAGTGTCATCGGGTTCGGGTCCACCCAACGGATTATGACTTTGGTTTTTTAAATTTTTAAATTCACATTAACACTTACAATTTCTATAAAATAAATTTAAAATATTATAAAAAATGTATTAAATCTATAAAATTATTTTATTTTAAACTCTGAAGTAATTTTTAGATATATAAATAAATATAAAGAATTTAAAAATGCTTAAATTTTGGAAAAAAGTAAGATAATTATGCAATATCATTAAAATTTTATCTGAAAGTATAAATGTATACACTAAAAACGAGTAGTAAAATGTATGATTTTGAAAAATTTTTACTTTAACATGTCGGTCAGGTCGGGTTTGGATTTGGTCGGGTTTGACCCATTTTTAGCGAGTCATTTCGGTTTCGGTCAACTTCGGATTCGGTCATCAAAACCTTTGTTCAAAACCCAGTGTTTTCAGGTCGGGTTTCGGGTCAAAAACAGATTGAGTCATTTTTTGCCAGGTCTAGATATGTAGATTATTAGTAAAAAGGTATGATGTGATAGGTAGAGTATGAAAAAATAAGGGGTAAAAATAACTTTTTAATAGAAATAAGAAGTGTTTTTTTTAGAATAGATGAAAAAAGAAAAGAGACAGATTTTCAGGGACAGAGGGAGTATATCGACGTCTTTGGACTTTGGATGCTAACACATATTGTGCTGGACCCTTTTCAACATAGAGTGGTCCAATAAATTAAAGTATGTTTCATATGTTTACAGGTCCGATCCAAGATACTTTGGGAACAAAAGCCAGAGGAAGCCCAAAAGTTACAGTAATGGCCCAAAATGCAGATGGCTTGTAGAACAATAGATACACTATTACACTCCACCCTTTTTATAAAACGGTTCATATTTTCACTTCTAAGAAAAATAAAAAATGTATGTTTGTGGTTAACTTTTCAATTTTATCATTGATGTGATAGGTATATTATTAGTAAAAATGTATGATGTAAAAGTATGTTAATAAAAATAGAGATAAAAGTGGTTTTTTATTTGAAAGTAGAAGTCTTTTAGCAGAAAAAAATGAAAGAAGAGGTGTTTTTTAGAAATTGAAGGAGTATCTATTTCATCTACAAAATATTTTCTTTTTTTAAACTTCCTAAAAAACTTCAATTTTTTTATTCTTTTAATTAAAATCACATACTTATTTTTATTAATTATTAACCTACATGTCGTATCATATCGACTCAAAATTATAAATTTTAACCAAAAAATTTAGAAACAATATACTTCTCTTTTTACATTTAATTGATTATTACTTTGTATTATTTTGTGGTATCAAATTAAAATTTATATAGACATGATGTATGTCCATATTCATTTAACTTTTAAAGTATAAATTAATTATAAAAGTCATAGTGATCAAATCATATATGGATAGAAAAAATATATGCTGAGTTACAATATAAAAAAAGAGCTAGTCCCAAAGATTCAAGAGATCGGAAGAGATGACAAAAGAATCCATAATCCTAACCAATTAAATTATACAACGTATAAATTAATATTGTTTTTAAGGATATATACGAATTTTTTTTTTCAAATTAAACAACGATTAACAATGGGTCAAATTCTATTTCTTTGTTTTTGAAGTCTTATATATATATACACACACAGAGTAACTTAAATAATATTCTCCTTTAAATGATGATTACTGTAACATTTTACAAAGTTTGATTTTATTACAAAATTGTCATCATATTTCTTCAAGTTTTTTCTTATTTTTCAAATTTTTGCGTTCCTTAAATCTTATAGTCTAAAACACCACATGCATTCTCATTTCTTTCGTAAAATCCCATTTTAATCAGGACCAATATATATATATATATATATATATATATATATATTAAATATATTCTTACTATATTTAATATTAATGTATATTGGTAGCTACCATATTTGTATAGGGTGTATTAATTATTGTTTCCTATTGTCACTAGGAAACTCTTGTATATATACACATGTAATCTCTCACAATTATTTAACAGAAAATATTTATTCTTCAATATATATATATATATATATATATATATATATATATATATATATAATCCTAGGAGAGAAATAAGAATGAATCTGGTGCTTTAGATTGTGAGATCTAAGGGTCAGGATTGCATCAAAATTTGATGCACCAAAATGGTTTGAAAATGCATCACGTCGAAATGCATCAAAATCTTTTGAAAATGCACTATCTCAAAATCTGAGCGCAGGATGCAATCTGAGCTGCACGATGCATCAGATCCAACGGCTAGATATATATATATATATATATATATATATATATATATATATATATCCTTTAATATAATATTTGAGAGTTGATAGTTTAGAATTTTGACACGTGGCAGTTTTAGAGTTCTATTTTTTTGACACATCATTCTCCACGCGTCCTTTCTACGATGCTTCCTGGAAATCGCCCAGAATCCCCAAGGAAACCAAATCTCACTCTCTACGCTTCAGAGAACCGCGATTCTTCAGGGATATACGCAGATTCTTCGCATCTGACTTTCTTCGCATCTACACCAAATCTGACTTTCTTCGCATCTACACCAATCAAAATACGCAGATTCTTCAGGGAATGAAAGGTTCCATATTATCGGCATCAGAGAACCACGATGAGAAGATTTCGAGGTTTGTTTCCAAATTTCAAATTAGGTTTTTTTCCAAACTTGGATTTAGGTTCCAAATTTCCAATTTAGGTTTCTTTTCAAATTTCGAATTTAATTTCTAACTCGGTTTGTTTCCAAATTTCCAGCGTATAATTTGTTTCCAATTTTTGAATTTAANGTTCATGGATGAACATGTAAGGCAAACTTCAACTCATAATATTGCGTATGATTCATATTATATGTATGCAAAGAATTGTTGAATTTTATTGATTTTTTGTAATTGCTTTGTGTACATAGTGGGTTATTAACTTTTATTGACTTTTATTGTTGCTTTATATTCATGTTTTGCAATTGCTTTATGTCCATACTGTGTTGTTAAATTCTACAATTACATGTTACTATTTTAGCCTATGACTTTGAATTATGAAAGCTATTATGTTGTTAAATAACCGATTATTGATTTATAGACTACACATAAGTTAATTAAGAATAGGATTTGATAGACTTGATGTAGAAACAAACAAGTATTCTGTGAAAATAATAACATGAAATGATTACAGAGGCCATATCTTCTTCAATCACACACAAATCTCTCAACCAAAGCATATGTTTACTGGCCTCCACAAATTGCCCATCCCTTATAATAAAGTGAACAAATAGAAAGGTATTTCCACAAGCATGAAAGAGACATCCTTAAAAAATTTGAATAC